CCCCCCATTCCCCACATTCCCCCCATATCCTTCAACCCCTACAAGTCGCGATGCTGATTCTTGTCGTTGATTAATTTAATGTCCCGCAGTCTCGTTGGCGTTGCTTTCTCGATGTTTTTCTTTTCTGGGTTTATTTTTTGTTAGTTGTTAGCGCATTCTTGCAATCCAGTTACTTTGGAGCTGTATTCGATAGGCAACAGTGGTCACTTGGAATCAACGCTTACCTTTGTTTGTACGCGACCCTAAATTTCGTAGCGAGCCCGCAAACAAAGCTCTAGCTTACTTGCGCCTTTGCCGTTACTACCCACAAAGTATTTATTTTGTGCAACTCCAACATGTCTCAGTTGCCTCACGATAACCACGCTTGATTCTGTTTTCTTACGCCTTTCGTATCTCTTGTTCTCTTTTCTTGGGCGTTTTTGTTTACGATTGGTTATCTAGCCTTTCTTGTACTCCCGTTCGGTGATATGTCCTTGTGCTGATTTTCATCGAGGCTCTACGTATCCTTACCCATGGGCTACGGCTCGTCACTAATTTTCTTCGATTAGGGTGCTGTGGAGCGATTGGTTTCGGTCTGTGTCATTTTTCTTTTCTTTTAATGTCATTGCCTGGTGTGAGCCCTGTTTTAATTCCGGGGCTGCGATGCCAAAGACAGCATTTGGCTTGTACGTTTTGGTTTATCTGTTGGCTTGCACCAAGCACGCTTTGGGGCCCGCCTGGGGAGCCCAGGCTCCTCCGAGCACTCCCATGCTTTACGGTTTTGATGACTTTTTTTCCTATGACAATGCGTTATCTGGAGCTGGCGATCTCTTTGTTCGGTGCTTCAGTACACTTTTGTCTTTGCTCGTTTTTGCGACCAAAATTTTTTTGCAGCACTAAACATATGCATTTTTCTGTTGCGGATCATATCAAGCATGTCGTACGTTCCGCGGCGTATATTCAGTATAGAACGTCTTCTCATATTCATCATGGACTCCAACGCATTGCGCTCTCTTTAATGTTTCTGCGCAACAGTGTACGATTGCAGTGCTCTGCGGAACGATACTGCACTCGCGTGTACTACTTTGTTGTCCATTGGCTGCTATTGGAACTTTTACGTATGTCGCACTAGTGCAGGTATTGCATCGACTGCCATCGACTCACCGATGATCCATATTGCTTGTGTTCCGCTTTCCACATAATCTCCATCGTAGGCCTCTGGAATCTGCAAGGGGGACAAACTGTACCACCAGGTATCTTTTGCCTTTCGGGCTTCAGATGCCAATCTCTGGAATAGATATCGAATGCTTCGTGGGCTCCTACTCTATTTGAGACTGGATATACTCGTTAACATACTGTGTCACCCTTTCCATGGGCAGGATAACGCACACTACCATACCGCTTAGGAAAATGCGTGGCAGCAAATATGGGCGCCCAAATTCACAAATGAACATTCAGTACAGGCGTATACTTTCATTCGCTTGTCATGAAAGCCTTCATCACCATCGTTGGATCTGCCTCCCTGGCCGCCGCTTCTCGAGAATCCGGAATCCTCGCTCCGATTCCGGTATCCTCTTCCTGGGATACCTCGATATCTGCTGTCGAACTGGATCATCACCAGAACCTCCTTTACATCGCCAGACTGCAAGCTGTTATCCAAGTTTTTGTGTTTGTGCTCGATGGCAGGCTGCTATCGCTGCACAAGATGCCTGGTCATTCATTTTCTAGTGGCGTACCCCTATCGATCCAAAATCACGATTCCAACCATCATTATGCAGACAGACAAGCTCTTTCGACCACTTTCAATATGCCAAGTCTATTGACTATGACAAGCTACTGCGTTAGCGATCCATTCGCCACATCTGCAAGCACCTACTTCATGGCCGCCACGAATGAAGCGTAAATTTGCTGCTCCGCCCGTCCACAGCTGGTACTATCATTCGGCTATCATCATTACACTTCTGGTACCCTTTCTGCCTAGGGTTGCATCTTAGATCCGTCGCACCGGTGCTCGCAAGCGTGCCAGAGCACAACGCACGCCGTCTCTTTCGACATATACGACCCAAGCCAACCAACGAAGACACCGTCAACAACCAAGAGCCCCGATTGCGCCGGCTATTCTTGCCTTCCGTCTACACTCAAAGCGATCCTGGTCGGCACTGCAGGGTCTCGCTAGTTCAGGTCAGCATCCAGGTTGGCGTCGCTTATTAAGATGGTTTCCGCGAAAAGCACCTCAATCGTTTACACTATTAGTTGGTGGCCGCCCTGCTAAAATATTGCTGCGATAGCCTTCATGGCACAAAAGAAGCCGCGTCTATGTCAATCGTGAAGCTTGAGACCTTTTTTAGTCGATACATCATATTGTGTATCTTGGTCTCTTCCTTAGCCGGAGGACAAGCCTCCATTCATCAGCAGTAGATTCAATCTTAGGGCATCTCGCAACGACCTTGCACATAATCGATAGGTACGGTTACAGAAAGAGAGCTCTCAGGTTGCCTTCAATTCTAGTCGCCGTGCTGTGGTAACTCTCACTTTGGCTATATTCGCCCCCTGGATCTCGCTGTGCGCTCTATCTTGCCTCTACGATTTAGCACGCTTGCGACATGTCCATGGTCTTATAGCGTACTTGCGCCCTCTGCTTGGAGTCATTTTCTCGAGAACAAGCCCAAATCGGGGACTTGATCCCAACAGTGCGCTACAGTCGATTTTGGACACTTTTTGTATAACAGACAGCAGGCAAGAGTCTGAGAACTTCTGAGACGACCCGTCCGCATTTGGAGCAGGCAACATGCACTTTCAATTCTAGAGCTTTACGAGCGCTGTGAGGCTAGTACCTCCGAAACATTCTTACCCAGCGACGCTGCAGCAGATGAAATGGATTCACTGATATATACGCTTACCCTAGGGATACCGTATGCTGGTGAAATGTTCAGTTGCACGGATCGAACCGCACTTGCTCTGGAACTTCTAGTCGTGGACAGATTGCAAGCTAGTACATCGATCCTACAATGCTTACATCCGTTTGCGTCGTCGCAGCAAAACTCGCTAGTCGCAACCTGTGCACCGGGTTTCCAGGGCAACGAAGGCAAAGGTTTGCAACTCAGCGACGTGGCCGTAAAAGCGATATTCATAGGCGCGCTCGTGCCCATAGGTAATCATTCCTTTACGTTCCGAGAGAGAATTCCTGCCCCGTCGTTCCGTGTGTATAGCCTCTGAATCACGGCTCGTGGGCAGGATTTCAGAGCGCTCTTCGCGCACATCTGTAGCCGCATTCATTCATTCGTTCGTTCGTTCATTCATTCGTATTCACCGATCTTGTGTACATGTCTGGAACATTGTCCTTACAGAGGATCAGCATAGACGTAATATAGACCTTAATTGACGTGATCGTCAACGAGCATACTCAAGCAGACACTGAAGCTGAACCCGAAACCGATGCTGACGCTCTCGCAGACATCGTCGCAGACACTGCCGCAGAAGCTGTCGTAGACACCGTCGCAGACACCGCCGCAGACACCGTCGCAGAGGGTGTCGCTGTCACAGCCACGGGACTCGGAGTCGGTGTTGGACTAATCACCACACACTGGTTGTTGATGCACTCCTCGTCAGCGCGGCAGCAACGCACCTTGTTCACAAGGTTATCCGAAGGGATCAGGTACGTCCCGCACTGCTTCGTAGGGTCCTTGCACACACAGAACGACGGCAGCAGCACCTGTTGTTGCTGCTGTTGTTGCAATTGCTGCTGCTGCTGCTGGTTGTTGTTGTTGCTGAAGGGGTTGTACGTACAGTTCTGCGTCTCGGCGTTGCAGCACTCAGGGCCGCAAGCAATATAGCTCGAGTTCGACGCGTTGCCGGTCGTGCCGCTCAGCGAGTTCGAGACGTACCCGTAGGTCTGGCACACGTACTCGGTCATCGGCTGGAAGCACTCGTTACCGAGCCCCAGGCAGCAACCAGCCTCCAGACACTGCTGCGGCGAGTAGCTCGTGCGCTGCGTCCCGTGCTGCTCCCCGTACAGAAGCGTGTTCAGCAGACGCACAAACTGGTTATTGTTGATGTTATTGTTCAGCTGCTGGTTCTGATTCACCGCGTTCGTGCACGGCTGGCGCTCAAACTCGCCCACAGCGCACGTCTTCTCGGGCTGGAAGCAGTACGGGTTCGACGCAAAGTCGCTCTGCTGCTTGCCGTTCTGCACCCACTGGTTCTGCGCCTGCGAGTCGTAGCAGCAGCCCTGGGCATAGCACGTAAACTGGTTGATACCCGCGTTGCCGCACGGCTGGCGATGCGCTCCCGGTGATGGGCAGACGGGCACCGGTGCCTGCACCTCCTGCAGCGCTACAGAAGCCTGCGGTGCATGGTCGATGTCGTAGTAGCACCAGGGCGCGAGGATGCCGTTCGCTGTGGGCTGCCAGCAGCATCCCGGAATCGCAGTGCACTCGTCGGGGTAGATGTAGCTCCAGCCGCAGGGGACGCGCTGCGTCACTGGAACAGCGCTGCAGGCCGCTGAGACGCTCTTCAGGGTGCACGCGTTCGTCTCGGGATTGAAGCAGCATCCGACTTGCTCGCAAGCGTCCTGGTTCGTGTACTGTCCCGGGGAACCGCAGATCTCATTGGTGCACACGGGAGTAGATGTAGGCGTTGGCGTCAGTGTGAACGTCGAGGTCACGGTTGCTGTTATCGTAGATGTAGCCGTAGATGAAGCGGTTACCGAGGATGTTGCGGTCGATGTCGGAGTTGGCGTTGATGTTGGCGTAGGCGTAGAGGTAGGCGTAAAGAACGTTTCACTCAGTGCGAAAACATCATTGAGATAGCCAGGTCCGCTAGTGTTTGAGTATCCAAATCCGCCAAACATGACCGGATCTGTTCCACTGGTGTTCCATAAGGCTGGTCCTTCACGTCCGCCTGGTACAACACTCGAGCCGGTCTCGTTCAAAACTCCATATACTGCTAAAGAATCAACCGCTGAACTTCCGTTGATCCACGCCCATTGACCAATTTTGATATTGAACACCCACAGATCGTTCAAAAGGACGTAGTTGCCATTCGTAGTGTTGAATATTTCACCGCCAAACAGTTGCAGATTACCAAATGAATCTACGAAACTCACGCCTGAGTCTCTTGCACCAGGGTAACTGGTTGGCGAGAAATCACCGAGACTTCCATATGATCCAGGTACATAGATGGTTGTATTCCCTGCGATAAAAATCCATACGGATTGACTTATATTGTAGACCCAGAGATCATTCAAGTCCCCTTGCCCTAGTGCTGTGCTGTTTCCGTAGCCATAGCCACCGAACAACCAGAGATTTCCTTCAAAATCTGTCCACGTATGCGAGAAGCCGCGCGCACCTGGAGCATTTGAGTTGCTCGCCACGCCAGGTGCACTATAGTTACCAGGCTGGTTAGCAAGTTGTGATCCGCCTCTGTATGCCCATTCGAATGTAACAGGGTTGAATGACCAGAGATCTGACAAATAATCCAGCCCATTATTTCTCTCACCACCAAACAACCAAAAAAGACCATCCGCGCCCAGCCAGAATGCCGCGCTATCTCGGCCTCCGGGGTTGTAAATTTGACTGTAGATATCCTTCGGTCCATAGACTGGATCGGCGTTAATAGTATCATTCCCACTGAACCACGTCCAGATTCCCGTTTCAGTATCGTACCGCCACATGTCGTTCAGGTCTCCCACATTACCGTTCACATCAAAGCCGTAGCCACCAAACAACCAGAAATGCTGCTCGTCCGTCTGCCAATACGCACTTCCGTAACGGCCGCCGGGTATACTATTTGGGCTGCCTGTGCCGACTGTGCCATATACTCCTACATTGTTGATGTCTAAGGAGCCTCCAATCCACGTCCATTCATGTGAGGTCAAGTTGAAGGTCCATAGATCATTAAAGTAGCTCGGAAATGGGTTTCCATACCCAACCCCGCAAAACAAGTATACCAAGCTTGGACTTCCGACCCAGGCTGCAGAATAGTAACGGCCTCCTGGAACACTATCTGCTGAAGTCTGGTTCAGCGTTCCATAATTACCAGGATTATCGATACCCGTCTCTCCACCTATCCAGGTCCAGCTAACCGTACTCACAGGCGACAACGCAGCCACAACCGACACGGAAAACGTCGCCGCCAACAATAGACAAACAGCTACTCCCAGGGCACGTACCAGAGAGCGAGCACGAAACATCTCGTTCGACGCTCTCTCAGTCCAATAAATACGGATATTTGTTCTTTCTTGCGTGAATATATCTTCACTATTGTTTTTTCGTTATGGCCAACACGAACGTAACCGCCGTGTGTTGTGAAAGCCAGAACAACAACGCACAACGTGATAGCGCCAAAAACGCGAAACGCGCGCGCATTGCAGAGGAATTTGAATTGGGGTCATCATGATGCGATGAAGAATTCACGTTGATGTCGAGACTGTACCACAACGGACGTAGGGAATTCGGGGCCCATAGCCCGAAATATCCAAGTTGGGAGAGGTACTAAAAACTATATATGGGCTGGTGGGATTTCATTCGAATGAGTAACTCCCGAGTACCGCTCCTTCCAAGTGCGAGTCAGCAGGGTTCAGCAGGTCACGGCTCTGGGTAAGAAGGATAGCGAATAACGAACTGTCAGTTGCTGAGGTTCGTCTTCCACCTGAAAGGCAGATGTATTCCTAAAGCGATTCATCTATCTTAAGTTTTCGCAAGACGATTGTGGTGGAAGTATTCCGTTTTACTGTTTGTGTTTAGCAGTCCTTTTCTGGTGGAGACAGCCAGGCGGAGTACATGGGAGGTTTGTCTTCCTCTGTACCATTGGTGTTTATTTTATACAGAAAACATCGAATAATGAGCTCCTGCGTCTCTATTGCGAGGAAAACTAAGAAATATTTCTCGCGTGGGAAGTGGTCTCTCTTTAGGGACAGGCCGTCATCGTTCGAAGTGGAACGCATATACGCGTACCCATGCTTCGACCTTCAACCTACGAAGCGAGAATTCGTAGGTGTTTTCTTCATCTAACCTCGTTCGGCCTAAGCTTGGAGACGTGTGTGTCAACCGCTTCTGGCAAGCCGGACACCAACAAGCATTTTCAAGGCTCGCGCAGACCGGTGGTCCGCGGAAGATGCTAGCCCAATCGGAGACTTTATAACGTTTCATCAAGTTTTCCAACAAACGCTCCGTGGCGTCTGTTTTTACATCTGCGACCTGCAATCATTTTTCTGGTGCTACAAATAACTCTATCTATTTGAGTGTCAGCCTCACGGTATCGCGCCTACCCCGTGGTTTCTCGGTACAGAACAATACCTAGTCTCGCATCTCGGAGTGGGAACTTATATGGACTTCGGAAAGGCATTGGTCTGAATTGGTCTTTTGACAGCAGCCAAGAAAACGCCCGAAAGTCTGCGGATTCGTTAATCGAGATCGGATCACTCGTAACTGCTTGGTCGGAGTCGCATAATATGCAACAGCTTTTCCATGACGGTGCCTAGTACCATCAAAAATGATATTCCCGGTGGCGTCGTTCCGTAACGATTTTGGCGAGTAGCGGGCAATTTAGAGGTACCATATATACCTTTGGACACCCAACAGTTTCCCCAGCAAGATCGAGGAAAGTCTCCGCATAGTTATCGAATTAACAGCAAGACAGAGCGACCAAGTCGACAGACCAATTCTATCTCGAATTTCCGCCTCGCTCAGGAATTTATGCCAGCACTTGTCTCGCAGTGTGCTTTTCATAAAGCACGTTCCCCGGAACGCATCCTATTTTCTTGAACTCTCTACCCAGATACCTCGCCCTGGATTCCTTGTTCTCTTTTATCGAAGTACTCGCGCGAGGTTCGCTCACCGGCTCTGTCAGTGAGCGGAGCCATGATCCATTCCTTGGGCCTCTCACACTGATCTGTGTCCGATGGCACGCTGCTACCGCTTCATCAGAGGTTATTTGGTGCTTCTCGCATGTGAAGGCGCATTTGGGAATCAAGAGCTTCTTCATGGTACGATTCAGCCTCTGGAATATTATTAGCAATCTAACCAGCAGACTGCTTGAGTGGTTCAGCTGCTTGCCCTGCTGTATTCTGTGTGGAACGAAAACAGAATCTCAGTCCGTTCTTGCACCATGATCTTCGCAAGTTGTCCCCGGCAGTAGATGATGAATGCCTGAAACATCCTTTTATTTAACAATTTACCTTCTCGGGAGAGTCTGCCTCGATCCATTTTAATCTGTAGAGATGGTGCACCCTGCTTCCTCGTCATAATGGCGGTGTTCAAGCACGACCCACGTTGCTCTTCTTCAGCACTGCTTCCACTGTACGCACGGGGAGGGCGCCGACGGACTTCATGGCACCTTCGTAGTCCAGCTCCTTCTTTCTCGACGCTCGGTTGCTGTCGTTCGGCTTTTGCAATCTACTGATATATCCTGAAACAGCGTCCGGATGCTAAGACGCACTGGTGCAAAACAATAGACTACTCCGGAACTCGTAGTACCTGTCAATACTCGGAAGTTGCCACTCATTTTTTCCATTGTACCCATGCAGCCATTTCTTTCCCCGGAAACTCTGGTGCGATACATCCGTCCTACGCCCGGGAAGGATCTCCAAATGCATGTCATATTATGCACCAAATCCCAAAATAAGCTCCAACAATAGATATCCCCAATTCTGAAAACTTTATTCTGTATTCCAGGACAAATGCGCTCTCTGCAGTTGCAGCAAACGCGCTCTACTCCGATGACGACCGCTTTCAGCATTCTCTGGTGCATTCAGTGGGTAGCAGTTCATAGCTATCACTAGATTAATCACTATTGCATCACGCATTATGACTTGCGAAGCATTGTTCGCTCTTCACATCAGGAGGAGCGCCATCTCACTCGTTCAATATCCGATCGGAACTGCCGCAGGCCACCTCCTTGGTCACCGTTGCTCCCACATCTGTCCTTGAAGCGGCGGTGTGCGCACCAAAGGCGCCTCTCATCTTCGAAGCCAACACACTTTATTCAGGAACAAGAGATCCGACTTGAGGCCACGCCGCCGCAACATCTGGTCTATATCGTCAAAACTCAGTTCGTAAAGCTGATCTGCCTTGTCGATTACGTAAGTTGGTTCAATAACCTGCGGTTTCGTCTTCTCTCGACCTTCCATATATTAGCCACGCCACTGATAATACGAGCCCGAGTCCGAGAACTGTCCCTGGGTCGCCACTTCGGCTATACGGCGGCCGGCCTCATCATTCGGAACGTATTGCCGAGTGATATACTTCTGAAGAATCGGGAAGAATACGTAGCGGAACCAGCCAAGCTTTTCGCGGTAGAGGTTGCTATCGGCGACACATCCCGGGAAAATCGTCACAGAGGTCACCCCATCGCGGCCGTATCGATCACTAAGCGCCTTCATTGTCAACACGCTAGCGGCTTTGGCGACTTTGTAGGCTTTTGTGGGCTCAAACGGACCACTGCCTACCATGCCAGTCGTCTGCGGATCAAGCCCCGCGGCTAGACCAGACAAATCGCCGAGGCGAGCCCGCGGGGGGATCCTTCCCGGCAGCGAATTCGTCGAATGGGTCTGAGTTGTCAGAAACACAATGCGCCCGCGCGATATTTTCAGCTTCGGCAACAGCTCCCGGCATAGAAGCAAATGGCTCAGATGGCATACCTGCATGGTTTCCTCGATGCCGTCCACCGTGAAACGCGGTTTCTTGTCCCGCGGATGCCAGATTGCGGCATTGCAGATCAGGGTATCTAGGTGATCGATGCGCGCCACACTCGATAGCTCTCTCACAAACTTTAGTACAAAGGCAAAATCAGCCGGACTACAATGCAGCACGGTATAGGCGTCCTTTAGAAGGTTCACGCTGTTTGCTGCGCGTTCCGCCCGGTCGATGTCACGACATGCGATGACGACGTGCAAGTTGCCCTTGTTGATCAGAGCGCGAGCTGCATACAGACCGACCCCAGAGGACGCGCCAGTGATCACGGCGATCTGCGACTGTTTCGGGCCCATATGAAGATGCAGCATACGATGCCGGCGCGCTACAGGCGAACGCTGCACCACAAAGGGCAGCGGATGCTGACAATGTTGACAATGTCCAGCTGCGAAGCACCCATCACGTGCAGTACGCAGCGGGAACGGTGCTCGAATTGCAGCGCGCGCGCGAACAATGTGTCTTTCCTGGTACAACGGGACAGACACGAAAAGAGCTTGCATTTTCTCGGTTAGATTTTCTCCGGTGCAAAGCTGTCGATCACGTCACCGGCTAGAGTCTTTCGCGTAGGTGTGCATATCCAGTCGAAAACATCTTTTGCGTTGCTGCACGTGTGATCGCCCGTCCATTGGTGCTGATGCCGACCTCAATCTCCCCTGGACTGTCCAACTTTGAGCACAACCCGCACAAGCGCTGAAAGTATTTCTCAGAAACTAGGCAAAACTCGCTGTTTTCCGAGCAACAATCTCGTCAGTACTGGTCGGTCAGCGCTCCGCGATGCTGAGTTCAGAGATCACAATTATCGTGAAGACACGTCGCAGCAGCTCACTGACGAATAACGTAGAGGAGGTGTAAAGGAATTTCCTCCGGCGCTACGTTATTTTGGAAGCGTCTGCACGTCAGTTGGACACGTCATGTCTGGGGCGGGTCACTCGCCACTACTCTGCACGGCCGGCGAAAAAGTTTTTCTTTTCAAAGGCATTTGTTGTTGGCTATGTCGCTTCCGGGCTCGATGTACGGGTTAGGCTCTTGAAACCAATCTTATAGAGTAGATCAGAACACAATATGTGCTATTGCCGGATGCCTCGATCGTGCCAGGCGAGATGCAAGGCTCAAACGTCGTGGCAGATATGGACGCCACATATGTGGTATGCCTCTGCCGAGACCACCGGATCCGGGGGACGTAGCGGGCATCATAACTTGGACAACGACGATAGCATGGAAATGACTTGAACTATCATCGGTTCTAGCCCATGACGCGGGATAGAAGCAAAATTCAGGTCAGGTCCTTATTCCAGCGTCCGTGCGGCATGCATAACAAGCATAGGAATTAAACGTATGTCCGTGTTCAGGAATCCTACCGTCCCTTGTTTGTTTACGATCAATAAAACTAACGAAACTCTTCAAGGCTAGAGTGATGCGTACCTTATCCAGACAAGCGTAAGCCGCAGAGAACGCTACGCTTTTGATAGAAGCGTCGAGGGGTATCGTGCCAGGCCCCTACATCTCCATGTATGTCAAGGCGGTACTGCGATGGGCAGTAGCTTCGGCACCAGCGACAGAGCCTATAGCAAGAGATTACTCTACGTGAGTTTCCAATCTACGATACTTTACTTCAGCTGCAGCGCGATACAAACACGCATATGCCAAGGCGGGGTGTCGGACACGTGTCCTTCATCGATCGATGAGGCGTCTCGCGCAGCGCATGCATCGCGCTCGATGAGCGTACCTGAGAGTTGGGGCAGATATGAGACACGACGCGCGCGCCGCCGTTGAAGGGAAACGTGATCTTGATCTTTAGCGTCTAGCTCTCGTGTAAAAGTTGTATTTTCGTTAATTTCATAGGCAAGTATAGTTTTTAGTTCGATTGTGTTTCAACCCTCAAGTGAAAATATTCGATTGATTTTTCGCAGTATATAACAGAAGCGTTCACAGAGGGTTCATTTAAAAAAACTAGAAAAGAAAAGTTATGAAAAGGAAGTCGACGATCCTGGAGGCCCAGGGTCGCAGGCTGCCAGAAAAAACAAAAAACAGTGCCGAGTCCAGGAGAAAAGGAAGAGAAGAAGACCCAAAAGGGGAAGGTCCTGCGTCGAAGGCTGCAAGAAAGACGACTGTACAACGAGATGGTTGTGAATACCTCTCTTCTTGGACATGTCAAGGATCCCTGCAGAGAAAATTTGCGAGACGCTATCAGAAACCGTGTCGATTCGGACTCCAAGAGTATTATAGAGGCGTCGTCAGGACTGATGCATTTAGCGAGGGAGATGTATCGCGACGTGACGCACATGGAAACGGTCGAGATTCCGGACGAGTTTTTCGAAAAGACCTTTTTTCGTTACCTCATCTTTGGTACAGCGGAAGCGCGGAAGGAAAATGTGCTAGTGGACGGCCTCCACGAAAACTTCGCGGAATTCCGCTTCGAGGGTAATCGATACAAGGGTGGCCAGGGTATTTACACATACGGAGCGATGAAGTACCTCACGAATCTGAAGAACCATTTGACAGTGATCCTCGAATGTTTCATAGTACGCGCCGCGGTTGCACTCTACCCAGGTATCTCTCGCAAAGGAATATGGGCGATGATCAATGGCATCACGAGAGATCGCAAGCATCAAGGTGAGGTCGAATTTGTCGACAAGTAGACGTCAAAAGGGAGCACGAATGAAGCTTCTGTAACCCGTGCGGCTATACAAGAGCACCGTGCAGTCTTGGGGCTGGTGAATCCAACAGAAAAGGTATCAGAGTTGAAAATAGATAAGGAAAAATACTATCGCCTCTCCCTGCGGTATCTTGTGTTTTTGGACCGTGAACTCGAACGCGAAGCGGAGATGAAGCTGAGTGAAGAGACAAATGAAGAGTGGGAGAGACGGAAGTCTGTCCTAATGGGTAAGCGCTTCAACGTGGTTCCAATGTGCAAGATCGAGTCACATTTTGTGACTATCAACTCCGGCGTCCTTCATGGCATCATGAAGGAGATCAGTCCAGAGTCCAATGTTAGCACAGAGGAATTCTCTGGTAAAAACCGGGAGACGTACAGGAAGAGCATCTTCGATTTCAAACCTCTGAGAGTGAGCAAGCAGAAGTTGTTCAGCGGGATGATTGAAACCGATGGAGTAGCCTTGTGTATACACTATCGGCCGTTGAAGGGAGATCGGCCAGTTGCGCCCTCGGCTGCGCCCGTGACAAAGGATGAAGAAAAGGAGGAGGCTGGTCCTGCGACATAGGAAGTGGAGGATAATGACCTCGTCCTTGACGTGGCGAAGGATGAAGAAAACAAAGAGGAGGATCCTGCGACGCAGGAGGTGCGGATAACGACCTTGTCGTTGACGTGACGAAGGATGAAGAAAAGGAGGAGGCTGGTCCTGCGATGCAGGAGGTGGAGGATGACAACCTTGTCGCTGGCCTGTCTGAGCATGAAGAAAACAACAAGGCGCGTTCTGAGAAGCAGATAGTGCAAGATAACGACTTTGTCGTTAACGTGACCAAGGGTGAACACGAGAAGGAGGCGGATCCTGTGATGCAGGAGGTGTAGGATAACGCCTTTATGGTTGGCGCGGCGAAGCATGTAGAAAACAAGAAGGCGGGCCCTCGGACACAGAAAGTGCAGGATAACGACTTTGTCGTTGGCGCGGACCCTGGGAACACGAATATCATAACCATCGCAGCACCAAAGCGTGCGGAAGATGGCATTGACGGTAACTTGCGTCAGAAAGACATGCGTCTTTTGGGGTTCTCGAGAGCGAGATACTATCGAGAATTGGGAATGATGAATGCGAGGAAGAAAATCGAGACTTGGAATTCAGGAATGAAGGATCACCTGGGAGCTTTGAGCGAGGTGACGAGCCGAGGAGCGGACTTTGAAGCTTTTCGGAAATTCATGGAAATTCGTGTTGCTCATTGGGATGCGCTGTGGGAGGAGGATACCAAGCCCCGGTGGGCTCGTTTGCGAATGAATCTATACGGCGGGAAACAGCGGGCGTTTGCCAACTTTTTCAATCAGTTGGTCGCCTTGAAGGAGGATGAGAGTCAGAGGCTCGTAGTAGCGTATGGGGCAGGGCGCTGGGCGCCCAAGAAAGAGAATACGTCTTCTCCAACGACGAGGGTGTACAAAGAGTGTGCACGACGTTTCGTTACAATATCCGTAGATGAGTTCCGAACATCGTATACGCACCATGAACTGGGGTGTAGACTTCAGAGGGTCGAGATGGAAAAGTGCCAGTGGAGCCCTGAGGAAATCGCAAAGTACGGACCGCTGACAGACGAGCAAATGGAAAGGATGGCAAAAGTTCGAGGACTACTTGCACTAGTAAGTACAACCAATGATGGCAAGAAACGTATGGAATTTGTTAACAGAGACTTTAACGCCGCTATCAATATAAGGAGATGTGCGGTGCTGGAGAAAAGACCTCCAGAGTAGACAACAAGGTCCTTTGTAGGACAACCCCTCAAAATCGAACTATATGAGAAAAAGTGGGAACCAGTAGTGCGTGGCCGGTCGAAAAAGACGGGGAGGCGTCTGCACATCAGTTGGAGACGATTTGTCTAAGGCCCGTTTGCCGCCACTACGCTATACCGTCGGCGACGTCGTTCGACTTTCGAAAGGCGGTGGTGTCATGGTCGCGAGGTTTTCCTCTCTGCCTCTCTAGTGAGCCGCAAGAAGTACTTCTGTGCATGGGTGCGAACCTGCGTTGCGTTTCGAGTACCAACATACTCGCTGATCGCTCTCACGTTCCGGGTTCCGAATTTTTCCAGAGCTTCCAGGAAACGTTGGTGTTCCTCCTGAGTCCAGTACCGTGGCTGCGGGGTTCCGGTCTCCGGTGCCGACCCCACTGATGAGGCTCTTCCACGTCGTTTCGAGGATGATTGAGATCGTCTACGTTCTCCAATACGAAGACTGCTTCCACTGCTGCTGCTGTAACCCCCAGTTCCGTATTCATCCGCGTGGCTGTTATGGCTGTCTTTGCTGATGGAACCTAGAGAATCGTGTCGGGCGAGCATGCTCTTTGCGGCGAGCCCCGGCCGCGCATGACTACTACCAGGTCCAGCAGAGGAAAACGGTTGGTTTGGCACAGATGCCGCGCGCCCAGATGCAGTAGTAGCGCTGGTGCTGAGGCCGCTGCCAAACTGGGCGGGTGGTGGAGACGGCGAAAACCGATCTGGTCGCCAGGCTGGCAAATTCAGTGGACTCGAGCTATGCGGCATTGACATGCAGGGCATCACTCGATTGTTAGAGTACAGCGCGCCAACACCAGAAGCCGGTATCGCAGCTGATCCTCCAAACGGAACTGCAGTTGCTACGTGCAAGGGCGGCGGCGCAGTCAGCACTGGCCCAGAGCCCAAAGCGACCGCAGTGCTGCTGCCTGGCGCCTTGCCCTGACCAGCGCTCGCCGGAGCTGGAGGTGTTGATGCTCTTTCAGTCGGGGAACGGACGCCACAGCTGGCAACCCCCAGGTGCATCTCCAGCTCGTAAATACGATTCCGTAGTGCCTGTATTTCCGACTGCGCCCGGTTTAGTTCCGAGTGGAGGTATGCGTTTTGTGCGAGAATCTCTGCGGCACCCAACGGGGCAGCCCCAGAGCTCAGGTTAGGGACGCTGCCTCCGATACCGCTTCCATACCCGACGGCGAACGGTGGTGCCGCTACGAACGAACCCCACGAAAAGCTATGACGAAGACCGCTGCCACCACTGCCGCTTAAACTTCTCTGTTGCTGCTGATAATGCTGCTGTTGTGCAATAAAGTCAGAATACGAAGCAGTCACCGCGGATGGCACACCAGGCGCCGCTGCGCGATAGAGCTCATTGCCCGCACTTGCGATCCGAGGCAACACCTTCCGTGACTCGGCCGACACCGCCCCGCTCTGCTCAGAAACGGACTCACGTGAACTTGGTGCTGTAGGCGTTTCTGACTGCGTCTCAGTTTCCATGGGCTCAGTCTGCTTCATTCAGGACCAAGCAAGCCAGAAGGTTCGCTCTGCCTCGCGACACGCGCAGCGCTGCTCACGCCTCGTGACGCTTCCGTTCCAGTGAACGTTGTCACCAAGTCCACTGCACCAGAGCAGAGCGCCAACACAACTCGCGCACGCAACCACAGTGAACTAAGACTTTTGCAAATAGAGCAAGAGTGTTCGAGAACAGCCCTGAAAAGGCTGCCCCAAAGCGCGCTCCAGGCGAAACCTAAACCTCGTACCTGCCTCCCTACGGTACCGAGCCGCTCTGGATCAACCCGTCGGGAGATTCCAAGGCGGCGGCGGCGGCGGCAGCAGCTGCGGCGGCGGCGGCGATGATGCGCAAAGGCCTCTAGCGATCGTGCGCTATAAGCGAGGATGCTACGACTGCTACGAGTACTGGAGGTCTTGGATCCTATGCTGTTAGCGATGTTGTTGATGTTGATGGTGATATCGTCAACATTAATGATGATCATGATCATCGTTAAGATGCCGTTGGTGCTTTTTGGCCGCCTTTGCCATAGAGCGCACGAATGCTTCTTCGTAGCGCCAGATCGAATCGCTGCATCATCTGGCGGCGGCGCGCAACCACGCGGTGCACGATCGCGCGTAGAAGCAGCTTCGAGCAGACACAGCGTATGCGGGGACGTTCTATTCTTGGTGTAAGTCAGCTTGCTCTAACTTGTTGTTGGAGACGCGAGATTTGGACAATATGAGTATTTGTCAGGTTGGAGTCGTCTGAATCTGTTTCGTAGGTAATGTCAAGGGTTTGGGACGTCCTGAGGAGTTGGCGGCCTGAGGCTGCGTGCGCGCTACTGGGAGTGCTGCCCCCAGCTGGTCTATTCAGGTAACTTGCGCACACATGTTCACGATGCCTGCGCTCAGGAATTAGACGAAGAGGTGGGTGCATGCATGTCCATGGACCCATGGAGCGTTTGTCCTTATTGTACGTGGATGTTTCAGGCAGCACCCTCTTCTAGACTCGACTGATTTTGACATGGAAAAATGATGAGCGTGCTCTGTTGCTGCCTGGCGATGTATTTCGAAACTTGCTTTTGATGTACAGGCCCTGAATACGAGGTGCTGTAATCAGCCCTTATGGATTCATAGCAAAAATTGGGATTCTTGGTTGTCTTGTTGGAGTAGTTTCTTTGATGCTTTGCCGCTGGATCTCGTTATGCCACTGGATTCAAGAGGACGCGCAACGCCTTCGCACTCAGATTCGCATCAAGTAACCGATATCATAACGAATTTTATATGCACAACACGTCCATCTTTTGGTTTGGTACACCTGGTATACTGACAATAGGTTTTCTTCAAGTTCTTTATCTTTTCGAATCCAGGCAACTCGTGGGCGGAGCGATTCGCGTCACTGGAATGTTGAGGAACAGTACAGGACGTCGTCCGTCGACGACATGCTCTTACGATCACGTCGAGCGGTTCAACGAAGTTGTAAAATCAACCCATCGATTCCGCTCGAAAGATAAATCCTCCCGTCAACGTGATCATCCACGAAACGCCATTCGACAGCAGCGTGGTATGCGCTGCTGATTATGTTCCTAGACGTTACCGTCTTTTCTTTATGCATGAGAAGCGGGTCTTAAACGTTGACCAGAGTCATTGCAACGATCCCCTACCGTGGAGAATTCGACATCTCTTTGCATGAACGGAGCCTAGATGGATAGAGTTTTTCCATCTTGGATCCTCCTTGCGGCAGTTATTTCATCGGGAAGAAACATCTCGTTCAACAAATCCTCCGTAGCGTGGATCAGTGTGCTCTTGTATGTGCGGTAGACAGAGTACTTTCCGATCGGATTTCCCAGACGAAGCCCGTAATTCCGGGCTACGACGCCGGGCAACGGAACGAAAGAGGGCATGGTGCGAAGCTTTCTGTAGGTTTCAGTAGAGTGTATCGAGCGATGAGGCGAGCGTTCACGCGCGACAGGGTAGCGCTCGGAGGAAAACTAAATTTGGCGGACATTTGGGAATATCTGACCACGGTAGACAGCACGGGTGGTAACTGATCCGCCCCGAGTCCTGTCGGGCGCTGCTGCTGCTGCTGCGGGCTCGTCACAGCGACTGGTGCTAAGCAGTTGTAATAAGCGCCACCGCGAGCGCAAGCTCCGCATCTCAGGTTCCACGACTCGCATGAACTTGTTGGGCGTCGTCAATCTCATCGAACTGGCGCGCTCGATAGGAACAGCACTTGATTAGCTCCAAACATCGTTCCAGTGGAGAAAGATGGCGTCGTCGAGCGTCGTGCCCCCGGCTGCTGCCATCGCCAAGTGGAATCCGCCCCTGTTCGGCGTTTGAATCGTGCAGCCGCGTTCAATCGCTCAAACCAAGTTCGAACCAAGAGACGCTAGCGTGAATGAGCATAAGCACTGGGCGTACCTCTGCGGAGAAGACCAGCGCGGAATCACTGTGAGGCTCCATGGACTGTGCAGATCCCATCTCTACGCTCCTTGTTTTCAAGCACTGCAAGCACAGGATCGACACCATCGTCGAGGACAGGTCCCATAAAGCCGCTGTTCCGAACGACTGCATCCGTGTGACGAGGACGTTCATGCTCACGAACCATTTGGCAGCGTCGCTCAGAGTCACCATATTACGAGGTAAGTGGTTCACGAGTTGCATCGCTACCACCGACGGAACCGCAAATTCCATGAGCCTGTCATTCGTTTCTCATGAAACGGCCCACAGATCCTGATCAAGTCGCAGCATCAACCAGCGCTCACCTGCATGAAAAGCAGATTGTGATTGCGCTTCTGTACCGCGCTACGTCGGGAACCGTACCCAAGCGGATCCGCAACACCGCGCTGCACAGCACTGCAGTGCAGCCGGGTGCTTCACCAGAGAAGACAACGCGCTCGCGCATAGGCAGCTCTTCGGAATGCGCCCCAGTTATTAGCGCATAGCATCCTCGAAGCTGGTTTCTCTATCCATTGTTTAGATACCACGCTAGCCGCTGTGAAATTCTGCACAAGTTTCCCTAACAGTAGTACCCACGCTACTTCTGACGCGTGGGCTTGCTCGGCTCTAGAATCTGCATCGCAAGCGGCTCAAGACGAAGCACGTAACCGGTGCCCTGTAAACGCAACCTCTTCTGGGCGCCCGACGCTTCCCGCTCACCGTCTGGAACCGCAAAAGTGCCAGCATCTCGCAGGAGATCGCTGCAGACCAAGTCGGTTGCGGTGTTGGTCCCTAAATAAGCCCCTAGCTGCCACGACGGTGTAACCATCTCGACCTCGCTATCACTAAGATTCGCTGCACACAACAATGGACCGTCCCGTGAGCCATGATGCCGAATAAACGCGATAATCTCCGCACGACCGGTATCAATCGGTTGAATGCTTCCCGAACGCAAACTGGGCCGCGCCGAGCGCAGCGCATTCAGTTGTCGAAGAATCGCCACACCGAACCCCAGCCTGGTCGGTACTTGATAGCCCTGGGCCTCGCTCTGCTCCAGAGCTTCCCAGAGAAGAGCCCGCGGGATCGGACCACGATGAAGGTCGCGAGGATCCATACAGGCGCCCTCTGCTACCAGCACGCCGCATTTCTTCAGTCGCTCGTAGCGTCTTTGCATCTGCAACCGCGCATAATCAAAGGAACTACTCATTCCAAGCTCCAGACCCTGGTAGAGGAACGGCGTGCCGACACCCACGAGCAAGATGAAAAACGCCAGGCCCAGGCGCCGCGGATCCCTCGCCAGCAGGTCGTACTCACTACACGCCGCCGAGATGCCGCCACGGTAGACGAGCCCGCCACATGTGCGTATCCACTGGACTGCGTCAGCACGCACCGATGGCTCAAAGAACCCCAGATAAATATCGTCGTGGTGCGCAAACGGAACGCACCAATCCGCGCCTGCCGGTAGTTTGGGAAGTTGCAGTACAACACGCCACCAGGGCGCCGTTCGACGGAACCAGAGCATCTCACGAAGCGCTGCCTGCAGCTCAAAGCAGAGGACAAGATCGCCCTCAGAGCTGCGCGTATTTCCGCAAAGCTCCGTTCCGATACCAGCGTATTGGCTGGCGATATGGTTGGGTCGTACGGCCTCGGGCATCAGCACTGCGCGTGGACACAGGTGATGAATGAATGACTTGAAGAGCGCCAGAAGAGTGTGGGTTTCAGGGAGTCCATCGCCGGGGGTTCCGGGACGCTTGACCCAGTGCGCCACTGCGTCTATACGCTTGCCGAGAATTCCCAACTGTAACTCTTCACCGAGGAGGTGGAAAAATTCCTGCAAAACATCTGGATTTTGGAGATTCAGATCGACCTGAAATGGAAGAAAAGTGCGATAGAACTGAACCGTCTCCGTGCTGGTTTCGTTCTTCTCCGACGCAACGGACCCGTTTTGTCTCTTAACCTGCACCCAAAGTCCATGCGTACGGTCAATATCAGGGAACAAACATATGCGTTCGGTGATGGTGCCGTCAGGGTCTCGATACCGACAGATGACTTCCCCGTTGCGCTCGTATTCCCCAATTTTCTCCCTTCCATCGCGCCGGAGATAGTAGCGAAGGTATCGCGACTCGCCGCGAAGTGCGCGTTGAAACCACTCGTGATCGGTTGCCGTATGACTGAATATAGCCTCCGTCATGAGGCGAAACCCGCGTTGCGTTGCCGCCGAGACGAACTCCTGGAACGCCTCGAGACCACCAAGCGCCGGATGAGGCCGATACGCACGAACGTCGTAACCCCCGTCAGCCCAGTCGCTGTCGTAATGAGGAAGCAGCGACAAATTCCGTATCCCGAGTGCCTCCCAGTAAGGTAAAAGATCGATCAGGTCACGAAAGCTGTGCACTTTGGCTAGGACATCATCCTGCTCCGTGCCCATGAACTGTGGGTAGAGGCAGTACCAAGGCTCGCGAAACCAGTCCTGCGGCAGGTCGGCATCGCGTTGGACAAGTGAAGACGGTCGTAACTCGCGGTAATACAGCACAGCTTGGTAGAACGATTCGAAAATGGCATCCCATTGAGGTCCATTCACTCGTTGGCACATATCACGGACGATCTGGGTGTCCCTGACCGTGGTGTAGCCTCGACGAAGGGCCTCAAACGCAATCACAAAGGGCTTTTCTGGTAGGATGAGCGCCAACGTTCGCTGAACGCTTTCTCTGTATGCCGCATACTCTGATCGCGTTCGTTCGAGCTCGGCTTTGGTAGCGGCGAGACGAGCAACCAAGGTTTCCGCCGACTGGTCAGGACTCTCGGAGACGTTCCGTGCTAGGACAGCCCGGCTACTGGGTAAAGCGTCCGCTCCACAACAAGTTGCAGCGCGTGATGCACTCGTGTTTCGCTCAGCTGAGCCGGCTACAGACGCTGTTGCGCTTTCTTCAGTGGATGCGCTTCCGTCGGTGCGACCAGTGGTGACATCCTTTGTTGGTTTCTGTTCCGCCTCCATGCAAAGCGAGACCCTAGCGCGGAGAGCGATCGTTCCCCGTTGAGACGCAAAGCCGAACCCAACGGAAACGTACAGCAGAGCTTCCACAGTAGCTCTCGGAGCCGGTACCCCGAGCGCCGTCCGGTTCAGAAAAGAACGTACAGCGCGGCACTGGAGGCCGCTCGTTTCCGCCCACAGGTACAACCGCTTGCCCTGTTCGGTCCGCTGGAGCTACAGCGGGCACCCGGCGTGCACCAGAAACACTTGCGACCGCCCAGCGTGTATAACCAAGAAACACTTGCCTGACTCGATGCAGCTGAACCTAGGGCGCCTCAAAGTGCAGTACTGCTTCTGTTCCCAGCTATGTTCAACGTTCGCTTTAAGCGGAGTCCTCGGGCTCCAAAACGGCTGACCGCCACGTGGTCGACTCGCGTTCTCTGGCGCTAGTTTGCGTGGATCTTAGTTCGTGAAGCCCGACTCGTCCTATCTGTCCTGAGAAGGAAGTCACTTTATACCTCTTGCGAAGCTTTCTGAACGAAATTAAACTTGGAAGCAACAGATCGCTGCAGTTTCTGTTGCTACCGCCGCCACCGCCACCGCCGCCGCAAGGCTCACCGTCCTGTTGTGTCTTCCCGGTTCTAAATGTCGCTAGCGGCCGCTTACTCTCCATAGCAATGCTTGTGTGTGCTTCCGTTTACTCGGGTGCGCCGACAGGCGCAAGATGCGACCCTCGGGATAAACATTCCGTGTTGCCGCGTTTATCTGCCTTATCACGAAGAAGGGCGCATTTACGCATCTCGATACCCGCTGCAGCTCTAATTTTGACACCCTTCATCCAGTATATGACCCTGCATTAGAGACGCTGGAGCATGACTCGGACGTCAATATCATGACTCTACGGACGACTCGGCCGCCGCAGCAGCATGGGGATTTTCCTGGCGCTGCGAGGGACGCGCCTGCGGGTACCACTACACCCTTCTCGGACAAAAATGGTACGGGTAAGTTTTGCTCACTCGGACGTAGACCTTCAAGCTCGAGCCTTTCCTGCTGTGATGAAAGCCGGCGTTGGCGTGCTGTCTCTGCGACTGGTTCCGGTTCCTTTCTGTTTCCGCCGGCTTTAAAAACTCAGGGATCTCTTGTACCCCCAAGCACTGTTATCAGCAGCGGAACGATGCAGATGAACGCGCAAGTCCCGATGTAGACACTTCTGGCTATTGTCAACGCTTTTCTTGCACTGGCGAAAGTCGCAATCTACGCTTCGCTTGCTATTTTCATCGTATTTGTATGGTGGCTTGGTGCGAGCCTCGCGGCGCTAGGACTTGGCAGTGCTCAAAGGTCCCCATATGTATACCATTGCTGCTCCTCTAAACGACTCTCTGTGGCGAGTAGACATTCGCTTCGTCGTTCAGTACATGCCCTTGGCGAGTTCAGAGGGCTCCTCCTGATACCCTTTCTCTTTTCTGCGCCGTGTGCCGCACCTGAAGATCACTCTCTCCTCCCGGCGATGCCCTCGGCGAGCACCGCGTCCACTGGACGCGCCAGTGCACATTTTTCCATTCGATAGGGGATCTCTGGAACGTGATATTGTTTATGATGAACCAAGCACCGGCAGGAGAATCCAGGATGGAGATCAAGTCGAGAAATTCCGATCTGTGTATGCGCCTTTCGCACGCATTGATGACAAACTATCTATTGCAGGCGATCGCTGCGATGACTCGAGTCCGAATCCAAGACCCTGCTCCGTGCAAATGGAAGAGACTGGAGCCTCTAGGAGCATATCAAGTGACGGGCATCATGCTTCTGTCGAATGCCATTTCGTCGCTGACCACAAAAAGTGGCGGATTTGTGCCTCTAACGAAATCGATTTTTCGGCGAGAAAAGTGCAGTGAGCGCTCAGCATGGCCTTGTGGACGACTCCTGAAGAGTCAATACCGTGTATGTTTCCCACGACAATCCAACGGCGGCAAGTGCTTTACCCATGATGTATCCCGAAACAGAATGATCGAGGACTTGAGACATGCGTCACGTCCGGAACGGAGAAGATTGGAGGCTTGTACATTTGAAATCGAAGTTGATTTCGGCTATTTTGCGAAAGTTTCATTCCGGGGGCGTTGGGAATCATCCTGATTCCGGTGACGTGACCAAATTCAGCATCAGATATTCGTATGAGCTATTCCAAAGAAGCAACCTCGAATCCAAAAAAATGCGTGTGAATCCGCAAGCCTTTATTGCTGCTCTTCGAATATCGAGGTTGAACATGCGAGAAAAGTTCTGAGAGAATCGAGCTACAGTTACCGGTCGCATAGTCCAATGCTCCATTCTATTTTGACTCGGATGTTACAGCACTCGCGCAGATCCTCAAGCTGCCTCGTGTGCCAGAACGGACATTGTCATGGCGACAGCGAACGTGCTCGTCGGTGCTCAGCGCTGAACAGTCCACTGCCTGTTTCCTCATGTCCATAGACATCATGGACTATTCTCGCTGCAGCGCCAATGACGCAAGCTGGACGCACAAGAGCAGAAGCTGGATGCCTCGCGCAATCGGTGCCCTCAGCGGCTTGGAAGAGCCTCGCCATCGACGCCATCGAATTCTCATTCATTTACGTATTCTAGAGGACGAGGCGGTCATTGCGATGCAGCGACGCTTCGTGTGTACCCCACGCATTTCAAATTTGTATATTTATAGATTTTGTAGAACAATCCAAACGTAGCCATGCAGCGACGCTCAGGGCATTCGCCCGCGCACATACCGGGAGAATCCCTGGTTCGATGCACCGATCCTAGACGATCGAAAAGAAATGCGGCCTTGCCGCACGGCCGGAGCAACGGGTCGCAGGACAATGCTCATCATCGTTACGCGAAAAGGCGCCAAACACTACCCCATGTTGGCGAACGAAACGCGTCCATTGGTGAGCGGCAATGGACTAGCGCATACGCTACAATCGTCATTACAGGCCGCATGCGATCGATACCCTATCGTCGAGGTAGAGCTCGCATTGTCCATTGCATGAATTTCTGACGATGAACATGTACTTGGCGGTCACGTGCTTAAGCACAATCCCTGGCCATACACCGAAATGCCACCGCGATGCCGCTTGCTCTGTCGCACGGCAGTGGTTGCAACGTTAGGCGCACGCCCCAGGCCTTCGTACATGCAGTCAGGACACTGGTGGTATCGGCAGCCGTTGCCATATGCGTTGCGCAAGTGGCGCTCACAGCTGTCCAAAACTGGGTTACTGGAGCAATAGATGTGGACATACCTCCTCGCAAAAGCTTTCAAGGATGCACAGAGCGGACACCGGGCAGATCCATGCAGCAGGCGCTATTTATGTCTCTAAACGTGCGTCCATTGCTTTGCACAGCACAGGCACGCCAAGCCGTCGAGAGCGTGCCGCATGTACGTAGCGGCAGCGACGTCTCGCAGGGCTTTCGCTTTCCGCTCAGTAGCGATATGCCGCTGATTTGTACGGCCCGTCGCTATCCACGCCAATATACTCAGCCTGCTCTGGTGTGAGCTTGGTAAGCTTCGCCCCAAGTTTTGCCAAATGGAGCCGAGCAACCTTCTCGTCCAGATGTTTCGGTAGTACGTACACCGAGTTCTGGTACTTGCCCGTGTTCCGATTCGCAGCAAGTTCAATCTGGGCCATTGTCTGGTTCGCAAACGAGCACGACATCACGAACGATGGATGGCCTGTGGCGCAGCCCAGGTTCACGAGTCGAGCCTCCGCGAGGATGATGACAGAGCCACCATGCGGCCAGATGAAACGGTCGACCTGCGGTTTGATGGTGACTCGTTCAATGCTCGGATCCGACACGAGTCCAGACCAGTCGATTTCGTTATCGAAATGCCCGATGTTGCAGATGATCGGCACCGACGGCGGCTGGTCGCCTCCTGGTCGCCGAGCATACGCCATCCGCTCCATGTGGTGCTTCATCACGATGTCACGGTTGCCGGTGGCAGTTACCACCACATCTGCAATGTCGAGAACATCTTCCAGGGTTGTCACCGTGTACCCTTGCATACATGCCTGCAAGGCGCAGATCGGATCGACTTCTGTGATGAATACCCGCGCTCCGGCGCCGCGCAGTGCCTCTGCACAGCCCTTGCCTACGTCGCCGAACCCGCAGACGACGCATACTTTGCCTGCAAGCATGACGTCCGTTGCACGGGCGATGCCATCTATGAGCGAGTGGCGACAGCCGTAGATGTTATCGAACTTGGATTTGGTGACTGAGTCGTTCACATTGATCGCTGGGAAAAGGAGCGTGCCTTCTTGTGCCATTCGCACGAGACGTTTCACACCGGTTGTCGTCTCCTCAGAGACACCAATGACTCGATTCGCGATTCGCTGGAAACGCGTCGGATCACGCTGGATTGATTCGCGAATAGTACGCAAAACGCACTTGAACTCTGCATTCGTCGTGGATTCCGGATCCGGCAACTTTCCAGTGCTCGAGTACTCCTTCTCTGCCTTGAAACCCTCGTGAATAAGCAGCGTCATATCGCCACCGTCGTCAACGATGAGATCGGGACCCTCTTGGTCGGCCCACGTGAGCGCTCGATCCGTGCACTCCCAGTACTCGTCTAAGGATTCCCCTTTCCAAGCGAAGACGTGCGCAGTACCTGCCGCCACAACAGCTGCAGCAGCATGATCTTGAGTACTAAAAATGTTGCAGGAACACCAACGGAGTTCCGCACCCAGCGCGCGTAACGTCTCGATCAACACAGCCGTTTGTACTGTCATGTGTAGGGAGCCGGCCACGCGCAAGCCCCGCAGTGGTTGCTGCGGAGCGTACTCACGCCGAAGCTCCATTAACCCAGGCATTTCATATTCAGAGAGCGAGATGTCGGCTCGACCCCAGGAGGCTAACTTCAGGTCCGCGATGCGGTAGTCACCGGAAGCCACAACAGGATTCAGCGTGCTTGCCGTTCCGTCTATTGCTTTTTTGTTCTCCAGCGTTTGCGTAACACTCCCCTCTTGCATGATTCAGAATACTAGACTTTCAGAAAAAATAATTGATCTATGCAGGCACCTCACGAAAAGCGTTCGCAGCGTGATATGAACCTGCCTCACGTTTCACACTGCGAAGCAGCAACGCCCCACAGCTGTAGGCGCGTCGATGTCGCGTCCGCATCGCACACCGCCGGTGCGATGCGCGCTGCGGCCGGCGTGCGTCATCGGCGACGGCGCGGTGGTGTTGCGATGGAGCTTCATCCGCTCCTGCCGGGTGCAGGTCAGTGCTGCGCAAGCGCACCCTTGCTGCTTGCCAGGCGTACGCAGGACATCGACTCGAAGCAGATCAGAAGCCGACGGAGCACAGAAGTGTTTGCTCTGCTCCTGTCTCGCGATTGTGATGCAGACTTTTATGGAGATGCATAGTTTCTATAGGCCAAGTACAATGATACGGGCGTACAAAGCGCATGCTCTGCTCCTGTCTCGCGATTGGGATGCAGACTTTTATCGAGATGCATAGTTTCTATAGGCCAAGTACAATGATACGGGCGTACAAAGCGCATGCTCTGCTCCTGTCTCGCGATTGGGATGCAGACTTTTATCGAGATGCATAGTTTCTATAGGCCAAGTACAATGATACGGGCGTACAAAGCGCATGCTCTGCTCCTGTCTCGCGATTGGGATGCAGACTTTTATCGAGATGCATAGTTTCTATAGGCCAAGTACAATGATACGGGCGTACAAAGCGCATGCTCTGCTCCTGTCTCGCGATTGGGATGCAGACTTTTATGGAGATGCATAGTTTCTATAGGCCAAGTACAATGATATGGGCGTACGGATGATATCGTCAATTTAGGATGCATGGTCGTCGTTCGGGAGAGACTATTTCGGCGCATCGTCCGTCGACTTTGTTACGATACAGGAACAAAGACGTTCCGTGACGTCCTGAGATAAGGTTTCGTAACCGAACCGATATCATTACCCAACCCATACGTAAAACGCATCACGATTCTGATTTCCTTACGTATAGCAGACTCAAATCATGCCTGCTTCAAACGGATGATCTTTCCGTTTCATGGCGACTCGAGGGCGCAGCTATCCGCGCTGCCGGGCTACCGAGGAAAGCGATACGCGGCATTGTCCGTTGGCGATTTGTTCAAAAGCTCATGCGAAAAGGTCACTGAACTTATCATGTCGCATAATTGAATCCCTTCGGAATTCAAATTATCCTCTATTTGTGGCAATCGACGAACGCATTCGGCAACAGCATTATAACTAGCAAGTGATATGCCTAGAGAAGATCTTGTATCTTATGTAAGCTAGGAAAACGTCGTAGACACGAACTAGAGTCATCGCAGCGGTCGGTTCCGGCGCAACGTGCGCCTCCACTTCGTACTACAAGAGTGCAGACGGTACGAAATTTCACGACTTGTTCTCCGGCCAGGATCTTCCTTTCAGTACCCGTTTCACCATGGACGACATCGCATCCGACAAGTATGCTATGGAATGGAACAGCGTGTGCAGCGGACAGCGTACTCGCCGAGGAATCGTTAAGGGGACGCTCGCGAGCATAGCGCCCAGCTCATGGCGCGGATACAGAGGGCGGTACCGAGGCTCGCCTTCTGTACTCGTCAAGGGCATGTTGCAAGCGATGAAGCAGCCGGTCACGCTTCACAGATCGACCTTCAGATGAGGAGGCCTGGTGGACATATGGGAATATCTGACCAAGGCAACGTGTCCGCGCAGCCGAGGGCTCACCGAAACTGTATACAGAGTCCATGAAATTGGCAAACGAAGCGTCCAACGCGAGTTGCGCCTGTGTATGCAAGTCATGGACAACAGACAGAAGCATTGGAATCGGGACTTGAACACAACCATAAATATCCCAAGACTGATGAAAGTGGAACTGGAGGTACCGGAGAAACCGACGTACGTAACGCCCAGTATATGAGGGAAGAAGAGAAAGCCGTCGCTGAAACAGCCCGCAAACACCGGCATCGATGATAGTGGGAGCAGACCCAAACTGTGCAGCGTACGCTCGAGTTAGGATAGTAGCGCTCTTCCGCGTATTGCATGACATGAGTGTCTGGCTGACTTATACGAAAACATGTGACACGAAAGCCCAGCTTATGATTCACCGTTCACGAACGGCTTTGCGCGTTCGCCCACGATGCACGAGCGTTCGCGGCGGCGGCGGCGGCGGCGGCCTCGAGTCGACGCGCATACAGGCAGCGCAGAACTGTTCAGTCGCGAATGATTGTCCACAACGGCAGCAGCAGCAGCAGCAGCAGCTCCGCAATCAGCGTTGCAGCGATTGTTTGCGGTGTGCTGGTTACCCTGCCCAAGATTTCTTGGCCATTACAGCGTAGATTCGTGATAGGAAGACTGATCTGGACTGTGATTTACGCAGAAACGTATATAGAGGCATTGAATTCTCTTCCTTGCTCAAATACGTCAATTGGGTATGCAGGAAAACATCACACGATTCGCTGATACTGTATCACGAAATATTCAGCAATGCTGCACGCGCCCTTCATTGGTGCTTTCGGGGTCGCTGGATCCCATCCAGCTTCTGTTCCCTACAGGAACACGGCTCTAAGACCGACAGGCAGCAGGCTCATGTGAGTATGAACAGTGGAGGCTTCTCTACCAGCCGAGATCCTTCACGTATCCGAGGAACTCGGGTTCAATACATGAATCCGAAGAAACTGCAAGATCCGCAGGTGATAAGCGCGCCCGAGCCCCGAATCGCCCGTCCGATGAGCGCATTTCCAGCAAGGCGCAGCGGTTCGTGCGCGCGTGCGCGTCTGCAATGCCGTACTAGGGTCAGCAGCTGCGTCTGAAACCCGTTGGCACACCCGTTGACGGAGCGTTGCTCGAGTTGGGTTCCAGCGTTGGATTGTTAACGACTCCGAGCTCCATGAATGTGTCCCGGTCGGAGCGCCGTCTGCGGTGTGTGGCCACCGAAGACTGGATCGCCCTTGGGCTGGTTGATGCAGCTACACCGGCCGTAGTCGAGTGCTTGCTCGTATGGGATCGACTCCAGGGGCACCTGCTGGGGCCGAACCGAGCTGCTGACGGCGTTAACACCGGAACGAGCCATCCTGCTTTAGGTCAGAGGCTTCTCCAAACAGCACCACAAGATGCGGAGTACGCGAAAGTGCTATTTGACGTATGGGCTGAGTGCCTTGTTGGCGTGGCGAAACTCTGCGTGAACGAGTACCTGGTATTCGTCGCGGAAAGCGTCAGCGTCGGGAAGCTGTTTGGTGAGCGAGCCACGATGTCGCTCTGTCCGATTTGCGTGCAACGCGTGCGCAAGTTCAGCGTGTTACCGATACGGAACTTGTCCAAGTCGCGAGAACTTATAACGCCAGTCGCCCGGTGCATCGAAGATTCTTTGCGGAGGCTGCTCGATCGAGCGCTCAGACTCGAAAACTTTTATTATTCGCCACAATGGGATATCACCCAGCGTCTACAGGAGACCTGTTTCAAATGGGACAAACCGCACCGGTCCATGCATCGACCCACAGACCTGCGTGAGTCGAGTGCCCCGGGGAACGCCTTCACGTGGAACGCTTCCTTGCTGCGAAATCTGCTCGATGACACTCGAGTTGCAGGCATCACGAAGACCCAAGTGCAAGCGCTCGTACGTCCACTGTTGTTCGGCTTTGTGGAGATGATTCCCGTGCGATGCCGCAAGCCGGACGGTTCCGTTCACCAGGCCCAATACGCACTGATATCCCGCTGCAGTCGCGTGCGTGCCGGCGTGCGGTACTTTCGGCGGGGTGCAGATCGTGACGGCTATGTCGCGAACTTTGTCGAAATAGAATCTGTCGTATGTAGCGGCGATTATCTAACTTCTTATGTACAGATCCGGGGTAGCATACCTTTACCCTGGGTACAGACCCCCAATTTACAGTACAAGCCGCGGATCCGCGTTGGTCATGATGACGCGGCGACGGGACTAGCCTTTGGTCGACATTTCGAGCGGCTTTCTGCGCGGTACGGTGAGCCTGTTGTGGTTGTGGATCTCGTCAATCAGCACGGGAGTGAACACACCCTCCAGAGTCGCTATGAGATGGAGGCGTCCCGATTCCACATTCCGTATATCGCATGGGATTTTCACCGGGAATGCCGGGGCATGCGCTACGAACGCGTTCATGAGCTTGTAGCGCAGCTCGAAGGCGTTTTTGCCCTCCAGGGTGTCTTCACTGCAGACGTGCTGCGCCGTTGCATCATTCAACGCCAACGCGGCGTCATTCGAACGAACTGTATCGACTGTTTAGACCGAACCAATGTTGTCCAGAGCGCGATCGCGCAACGAATGATTAGAGATCAAATCCGCGCGCTGGGATTCATTGATTTGGATGAGGGCGCCGAGTTTGCACGGCGTTTCAATGGCCTGTGGGCTGACCATGCAGACGCGATGGCTTACTACTACGCGGGCAGTGCGGCTCTGAAGACCGACTTTACACGCACGGGCCGTCGAACGATGAGCGGCGTGTTCCGAGACGGCTATAGCGCGGCGCTTCGCTATATCATCAATAACGCGTATGATGGGCTTCGGCAGGACGCAGTGGATGTCTTGCTGCAGAATTTCAATCGGAGCGTGACCGCACTGCAGCATCGCTTGTTGGAGAAGCGCTCGCACAGCTGGTACCTGCTGCTGCTCTGGATTGAGCTCGCGAGCATCTGTGCTCTTATCTATGCGCTGCTCGAATCAAAACGGCAAATGACGGTGGCAAGTTTGGTATTTCTGTTGACTGCTCATCGTCTCTTGCGTCGACACGGGTCTGATTTGGTCAATCGACCCCGCCTGTGCGACGAGGAGGCACACCTGCGGAAGGGACGCACCCGCGTTCATTCGTAAAAACGAAGACTTTTCGACGAATAGCATGACTGTGGCAGCTTGCGACAAATGATAGAATGCCCGTGACGATTCGACAAGCGTGCGAGGGTCTGGAGACCGGCTAGCTTCCGTCTACGCGTTGATGTCGGCTCGTTGCGGGCCATCGGTTGCGCACGGAAGCCGCGACCAGCCCCAGCAAGAGGTAGGTCGGGTTTCCTATCAACCCTGGGCAATCAAGATGCTGACCTATCGAATATGTTTAGGTTTAAAAGCATGCGTGCGGGCTCACTCCTTCAGACGTGCAACTTTTGTATAGAAGCCTTTCCTTGGACCGAGTCACTGTCCCTCTACTGCCTTTCCATAGCGCTTTTCACTCTCGAATTGCAATGCAGCAGAGCCGCTATACTGCGAAACACAAACAAACTCCAGCTCCTGGCGTTGCTGCCTCGATGAATTGCTCACCAGCAGACAAACTCGCTGCGGACCCTGCGCTGCACACTGAGTGTACGCGCGTTACGAACTCGCACCGCCGGACTTGACAGACACCACGAGTGGACCGACGTTATCCCCTGTTTCTTTGTTGTAAGCTGCGTGGGATCCGTCGCACATAGGAAACTTTTTGCTCCGCCAACAACGACACGCGGGAAACTTGTCACCTGAACCCAGCTCCTTGGTCTCTTTGGGCTCGTGCTTGCGATCCCCGTTCAGGAGGGTACTCTGCAGAACGCGCATCCCCTGGCATTCACTCGTGCTCCGTGTCGAGCTGCAGATTCGTGACGCTCTCGCCCTGCTCGTTCTTTGGAATGAACCTGTAAAGCTATTTGAAACGACGAACATCCCGTAAAAGTACAGGTTTCAAGGCTTCGGGTACTCCTAATACGTATCGGCTGCCTGCACTGCAAATTGCGCACGCGTTCAGCGCGAGATGCAGTACGCCTCGTGAAGGACGCGCTTTTTCCAGAGCTGCCGCTGCCGTTTCTGCGGCCCCTGGTGGTGGACGGTGGCGGGCAACGCACGCGCGCACGCACGCACTCGGAAGCATCGCGAGGCGCTGCAGCGCAGGCGAAAGGCGCACGCAGATCTCGTACGGCCTGGTACTGGAGGGAGGCGGCGGCGGCGGCGGCGAGATGCATCGACGCTGGAGCTTCGGCATGCCATGAAGCATGTGTTTCGATTGTCGTGCAACGACTGGAGCGCATCTGAACGCGTTCTTGTGCGAGGATGACGCAGCACGGCGGCGGGGTGTAGATTCAGGAGGGCGACGAGCGCCACGACACGCACAGCCAACGGACGCGGGGGATCGCGCGAGCGCTCGGGGCTGCATACCCACGCGTCCATAAGTATACACGTAAGTACATATTCATATCACTATATGCTTATGCATGTAGCGAATGCTACGGATGTGTGGCATGCTGCGCATAGATCTTGGAAGACTTGCAGTCCCGATTCTCGGGGAAACGCACCCAGATACGAGCATATATAACAAGTAAAAGTCGCGTCCAGATGCCACAGAGATGCGAGGGCGATCAGTTGATGTGAAAGCAAGGACGCATAGTCGGATAGTTGCACATCGGCCTGGGTCTACCGAAAAGCGCGTACCAGTCACGAATTCGAGCGATTGCGGCTCGTTGTGTCGATGCCGGGGCTTCGCTCGATCATCGATGTTCGGGTACTCATCGCGAATGCTTGGACTGCGTGTCTCAGGCAAGAGCGACCTCAGATGCAGGTGAATCCTCTTCCTCTCAGAGTAGGGGGCAGGGTACGTCTGTTCGAAATTTATGTCCGGCCCTCCAGGGAAAGCGTGTTGCATGAACGATCGTACTGAGGGCACTGCGGTCCGCAGACCGGCAACGGGCATCGACGCCCGCTATGTGCACATCCACTGAATAGACGAGTAACTCGCTGTCATGTAACACCTGTAAACCCGACGCAAATCAGTGCTGTTCTCGCATGTCGAGCATTGCAGCGATGCATCCAGCGTCGCAGTGAGCCTTTAGAGCACGCCCGGCACCCGCAAGAGAACTGGATCCATCAAGCTGCAGTTCCGACGGGTCGACTGGTCCGAGACCCGTGCACCGTAAAGTGCCCCAGGAGGCACGACGGTGGCTAGCGTCACAGCCTATGACAGTGGCACATTCGGGATATGCTGGTCCAATGCGTCGAACGTGCCGCAATGAAAAATGGAGAGCGCGTCAGGTGCTACAATCGACGCGAGCTGCCGCCAGCGACGACAACACGACCCAGCCAAGAGTATGCATCAGGCCTTTCGCGCTTTGGAACATGCCATCAAGGTCCGACACGCATTGAGAAAGGGCGTCATGGCTATAGATGCCAGCAGCACAGGCTGATGAACCGGGCGATGCCACGGACACCCTAGACATCCGTGGCATCTGTGGACTGCGCAGGCACCAACAAGGAAAAGTGTTACTCGCCCGCCACGGTGCATCCAAGAGATATAGGCATACGCAGTAACACATGGACCAATGAATGGCGGAAGCGAAACGCGTTGCGCTGGAGGAGGTCTCCCAAGTACGGTATACAGCCCTGCACCCCTGCCGCTCGGTGCGCGCTCTCGGCCTCAAAGAAACCCGAAAGGCTGTTTTTGGGGCCAATCAAGAATGAGAGACGTCCTCCGTCATTTTTTTATTTGCAAATGTAATAGAAAGCAGCAGCACCAAAACCGGAACAGATGCACTGCGTCTCCCTGTCAAATGCTGCGAAGAGTCGCCCCGACAGGCGCGTGTGCGCTGCGCGTACCCGGTACGCTCGCTCATGACATGCGGTGATTTTTGAGACCGCTGAGGATTTTGATGCATCGAACTGGCAATCTCCAGAAGCGTAAAGGAAAATGGCATCGCGGGAAGCAACGAAGCACCTGTCGCAGGTTCCAGGCATGATGCGCAGTTGCACAATCTCGGCACAACGGGGACAGCATTCACCATGCCGCAGGAGCGCTCCAGCGCAATGCATCGGAAAGCAAATCGTCAGTGACACTGGCGATGAGGCAGGTTCGAGACACGCTGCAGCGTCTTCGTTCTGGAACGGCTCGAGTGTGCAACGCAGCGACATAGACTGCCGCGAAAAGAGCAAGTCCTGCGCTTTCATGTTCTCTGAAATCACTCCAGCTATGGGAAAGCTCTGAATCGTTCATACGTTGGCATACGAGGTTCCAAGGCGTTGCACTTAGAATAGTTCACGCCGAATCACCTGTGCGCCTTTCGTAGTTGTCTCGATCTTCGCTTTCGGGACTGTGGTCAAAGGACCGGCGAAAGAACATCGCACGCTCGTTCACGGGTTGCGTCGCAGTTATGAGTGCCGCATTCGCTGTGAATACTTTCAAGGTTCCTGATTTTATTCCTCCGCTCTGGGCCCGGAACGCGCACTTCCAGACCATCGCAGGGGCTCTGCTTACACGTGCGCCCAAAGGCTTTCACTATACCCACCGGGTCCGGTTGCATACCCCGGATGGGGACTGGTTCGAGGTCGACTGCGCTGTGCATGGCGCCCACGACGAACGCGTTGAACCTGGAGAGGTGCAGGACAGCTTGCCGGCTACCAGAGCAGCGCGTCCGCTGGCAGTTGTTCTGCACGGTCTGGAGTCGTGCTCCAGAGGCATCCAAACCCTGCAGCTAGCGAACATGCTCTATAATGGTCTGGGTGCGAATGTATATGCGATGAACTTTCGCGGCTGTTCGGGTGAACCGAATGCCACTCCAAAATCGTACCACCTCGGGGAGACAAGCGATCTAAAACTCCTCATCGAGGAGCTTCGTTCGCGAGTAGCTCCAGTCGCCTCTGACGAGCGCGCGCAGCCGCTGCTCTTGTCGGGTTTCTCACTTGGCGGAAACGTGATCTGCAAGTACTTGGGCGAGTTTGTGGAGCACGCTCGTCTATTCGGCGTCACAGCGGCTGCTGTGTACTGCGTTCCATTCGATGCACTCGCTAGTCAGCCAGTGTTGGACTCCGGTCTCATCAGACGGTACGTCTATAGTCGTCGATTCGTCCGAAGCATTCAGAATAAGCTGAAAAATCGCCGCCTTTCAACTAAGGTGCCCTATGATCTCGAAAGAGTGCTGCGGGCGGAAACCATCGGCGAGATAGATGACGCGTACATCGCACCGACATACGGATTCAAGGATCGCTTCGATTACTATCGAAAGTGCAGTTGCGGACAGTTTCTCGGGGGTGTACGGACCCCGCTTTTGATCATTAATGCACGTGACGACCCGTTCATGGCACCGAGCTCATTGCCGATCCCGGAAGAGATCCGGAACCCAATGGTATGCCTCGCGTATACCAGTTATGGTGGACATTGCGGATTTTTCTCAGGTATGGCCACTGTGCGCGGCGATTCCTGGATTGGCTCACATTTACAGCGATTCTTTGAGTGGACTCTGGAGCAACAACTGAATGACCAGGACTATGTGGCGAGATGCACCTGAAAGCGTGCCGTCGATCCGCCTACCATTTCAATGTCGTTCGCGGGGAACGCGCGTCGGTTATATGGGCCGGTTCGGGGCAGTGCAGCAAGCCCTGGAAAGAGCACGAACTCATAGAACGGGCATACCGACAACGACGAGTGTGAAGTAAATCGGTGATTCGCTCTTCTTGATGGAAAAGTTCCCGCTGGAGACTGGTATGCTGTGGTTGATCGATGACAAAGGACAAACGCCGGACTTGCCCCCGGCGGCTGGAAATCAAGGCCTTGCCATAGAGCGACAGATGCGAACGGCTCGTACAGGCTGCTGCCGAACGCTCGCTAGGGCCAGCGTCCACCAGTTGTGTGGGCGCTATACGGAGAACGCCTTGCGTCTCGGCACGAAACGCAGGTGTAAGACGGCGTAATCTAATTATTGGCACCAGTCTGGAAGGGCATACGCACGCACGCACAGTTGCCTCAGTGGGAGCACTGTTACGACCCTTTCGCTTCGATGGGTGCGGATATCGCGCGTCCAACCGGGGAAATCTTGGTCTGCGCAGCGACCTCCCGTGCCAGAGAAACGCCTGGAAATTGGCCTCGGGGAACGACACCGTACTGCGCGCGCGGCTTTCTTGTCCTTTATGCTCTGAATTGTATAGTATATAGAACGACCAATGGACGTACTGCGCGCGGCGATTTTGATCGCACCGCGTCTTTATATATGAAATTTTTCATAGTTTGATGCATATGTGCTGGTGAGACGCGCCATGCTGAGGTCGCGTGTTCGATCCACGCCGGAGGCTCACCCAGCAGCTGCCAAAGACGCAGCGCCGGGCCTTCGTAGCTCAGTGGTAGTAGCGCAGCACTCGTATCCCAGCTTTTTGTCAGCACGCGACTATCCTCGCTTCATCGGCCGCGCGAATCTCGCGAATTTTTTCTAAAAAGACATTTTACAAAACACAATGTAGTCGAGAAAGCGTGTTCCGCAGTTGCTTGAGCGTCGTGGACGCCGCCGCCCGCATCCTCCACGGGTGCGCACTGTCTCGGCGAATAGCACTTGCCTTTTTCATCATACATAGCGTGCACATCATGCGGCATTCGACTCCTGGCTTACAGTTGACTGCGGAGGCGGAGGCGGAGGCGGCGTCTTCGGCGCACCAGGATGCCGTGGGTGCAACGGCGTCCGAGGATCGTCATCCGCCGATGCTCCATACCCGAACGCCGCTAACGCAAAGTTTCTCTCTTCGGGACGAGGTTCGCGCACGGTACCATCGGTATCACGCACCACGACACGCAACTGGGATTGCAACTTTCCGGTCTTGGCAGACACAGGACTTGTCGCGCGCTCCACGAAAATGAAAGGAACCCGCGGTTTCGGGACAGTCGCTGCCCCAGCGCTCGCTTCGTATCGCACTGACGGCTGCGATGGCCATGACGTGCTGCGGCCACCGGCGTCCGAGGCCTCAGAGGCAGCGACGGCATCCTTCGCGTGTGGAGCGGGCAGCGCCTTATCAGCGATGCCGCTTTCGTCCGGTGCACCAAGATGGGCTCGAACGGCACGAGCTTGTGCCGTCTCAACGTTTTCGTCGCGTCGAACGCGGTAGAAGATCATACGCGATGCCCGACTTCGCACAGCCTTTTTCGGAAAGACTTCCCATGGTGCTGGTATGCCGAGCACGAGGCAGTCTGGTCCAGCACGTTCGGCTGCAGCGGCCTCGAACTCCTGCGCAACGCGAGCTAATGGCTCAAAGACGTCGTTCCATTCCTTTTCACTGACTTGCGCCCGAACGCTTGCTTCCAGTTCGGCCAACTCTAAAGTGGCCTGCACAAACTGCTCATCATATCCGTACTTCTTCGCGAGCGCCACCGCACTCCACTTATCCGGGGCTTGTCGGTGCAACTTGACCATCTCCTCCCCGATCGCTGGTGGTACTGCCTTCGGTTTCCAGTCCCAGGCACGAGCTTCTCGGTCACCGCCGGTGCCATCAGCCGAAGCCGACGCCGCTGCTGTTGTGGAGGCAGGAGCTGCGCGCTGCCAGGTGCTTGCGCCGACGCAACCGAACGCACTCCGAAACGTGCTCTGTCGACCAAGTGCTCGTGATGCAGTTGATTTCGACGCAAGTTCTCCAAGCAATCTGGGTTTCGCTACTGATCGCAACAAGGCTCTCAAGTGGCCCTGGAACATTTCTATGAACGCCTCGATTATTTATCCTGAGCCTCTGTCCAAGCGCAGCATGAAACTAGCGACCGCGCAACCAGCTAGCACGTACGCACGTAGACACTTTGGATTTCAGGCGAGTAATAAAGATAACAAGGAAGCACGTTGACACTTTGTCAAGCAGTGGTCACCGACCCAGCGCTCCAGCACTGCTCCAGCTACGGCAAATGCCGCCGGTGGGCGAATTTCTTTCTTTGCCAAAACGTTTCCATGGACCATGGATCCAGCGTAGCGGGATGGATGCTGGCGTTCGAAAAAGTGTCAAGCAGGCTGCCCAACAAGTCCAAGTTCCATTATTCGTACTTCCGCTCGGATATACTGGTTATTTTGCACGTTCCACTGTGCACCTAACGTGATCTGAGCACTCACAATAGCGCTTATACCGCCTGTGCGGATGCTGCACGGAGACAGAACGGCTTTGCTATACCACTGATGGCGTCTGCGCGAGGTGTGGTGCACTAGTCACAGAATCGGGATTCAGTGTAATTCCGGGAGCTTGCAAGCTGTGCAGACAGACTTGCTGCCCGCGACAACGCGAAGCGATATGCAAGAAGAGCACTACGACCAAAACGATGCCCAGACGAAGCATACCAGACCCTATTCCCAGAATAAACTGGGTTGCAGACGGGCTGCCCAGATCTCACTACAGTACCCTTCGCTCCGTAGAGTGCAGCGTATTAGCCTAGTAGTCTTGTCCGACCTGCAGGACTTTCCGCCGAGAAGGTGAACTTTGCAAAATACGGAAAGCTGTTCCCGTTTCAACGCTTATAGTAGAGGCGAAAGAACTTTTGATCTAGTTGCCACGGAGTGGATCGTTTCTGTTCTTTTTTCTATAGCGCAGCCGAGATCCGTACCTCCATAGCTGTCGGGCATGAGACACGACGCGCATGTTGCTGTTGAAGGGAAACGCGATCCTGATTACTCGTTGACTTGCCAGAAAACTAGCGATGTTGCATTCGGAATGTGCACTGTTGCCGGTGACGTGCTCAATGCACGACAAGCGCAAAGCATGGCGTCATCAAGCCCGCTGCTCTACCGTGCAAGTTGTATTTGCGTTGAAGCCGGAGCAAAATATGATGTTTGATCCCAAATGCGTTCCGGCCTTCAGATTCGTGTATTCAAGTACTCCTTCGCGGTTTATAGCAGATGCGTTTAAAATGCGTTCGTTTTCAAAACTAAAAACGAAACTGGTGGACAAGGAAGCCGAGGAGCCTCGAGGGCCGCCATCGCCGGCTGCCCGGGAGGAACGAACAAAATCCCCTTCTCTCTGACTGTCACGCGATGAAGCGCAAGCGACGAAGAAGAAGAAGAAGAACAAGACAGGAGATAAGCGAGCAATGGGTTTACGCGGCGAGGCGCTGACGAGGCTGTAGGGGCACACATGGCACGAGCTATAGGACTCCTTGCATTGGTGAGTTCAACCAGAGGTAAGAAACGCATCGAGTTTGTGAACTGAGACTTCAACGCCGCCATGAATATCAGAAGATGAGCGGTGCTGAAACAAGACCCGAGGAGCCGAGGCAATCTATCTTTGTAACGCAGCCTCTCTCAGGCTAGAAGTGTACTCGGACAGGCTGAAACCAGTAACAGGCTGCGGGTCGAAAAATGCTGTGAGGTTGCTGCGGGTGGGTGTATATTTATGTACTCTGTTGCCGCACCGCCACAAAAGCTACATCTCCTGGGCTCATACCGACTCTCCAGGCACGTTCCGGAAGAGACGCAGCCGATGCTGTGTGGACATCGGCGATCGCTGAGACGTATTTCCGGGTATCAAAACCACCAAGACGTTCTCGTGTGCTTTCACGGAGATTATTTCAGAACCAGGTATGCTTACTTAGGTAGTAGCAGTGGACATGCGTTCTTTGCCGTCATAGACGGCTCGTGTGAACGACCCGTTTCGTGGAAACTATTTGGAGCGCATGAGGCGGCTCGGCGTGCTCGCAAAGAGCTCTGCGTCGTGCGCGCTCCGTATCCAAACGGAGCGGGAACGGATAAAAGCACAAAGTTTCATATCGAGTGCTGTGCTACGCGCACCGCAGATCGACCTTCTTCTGCAAACATAGGCGACAAGTCACCGCCTCCCTGACTCGTAGCTTTTCTGGACGATCCAGAGCTCTAGGTGGATTGTATGTTGAGCCTTGCGTTGGACGAGCCAAAAGCCAAGTGCTGCGAGCTCCCACAAGCCGATCGCATGCCGCCATCCATAACATCCAAACAGGCCGGCAACCGAATGGGAGGCTATCCGCCCGTTATGGAACTTTACACGACCTGTGCTGGCGCTAGGCAAATCGCGAACGTATGCAACAGGTCGTGCAGTAGACGAACAGGCGGCCTATGCTCTCTTTTCCAGCAGAAGCAGGAGCAGCAGAGGCATCGTCAGAAAAGAGCTCTACCATCCTGGTGTTCAGCAGGTGGCACCCCGGCCAGCATCCATGTATGCTTATCCAAGCAGACCACGCCGTCTCTTATGCGCCCGTATCTCCGCTTTCAAGAACTTTCTCTCGGCGCATTGCGGTTCGAGAGATGCAGCGTCTTCCCAGTGGGCGCTATCAGCATCCACGACACCGGGACCATCGATGTCGCGCAGCGGACTGCTTCGAAAGCAATACGTACGTGAAAGTGATTGTCAGAGCGTCGGTCCGTCGCGCACTCACCAACCTGTGTATCTGCAGCGAGCATGTACCGCCTGCCAGCATCATACCTGATGCACTGGAGCATATGCGCAACCAGGGTACTGGGCTCGCCTCGCAACACATCCGCAGCGCTACGACGATCGCTGCAGCCGGCACAGGGCATCAACGACTCGAAGGATAAGCGTCTGCTTTCGGCATCGATGTCGACGCTCACGTGACACTTGTTTTTGGACGCACGGCACTGTGCGTCCATGAACAGGTACTAGGCTGCGATTCTGAATGTCACTGGTGCGCTGGCTCTCGTAACTGGCTCCAGAGTGTCAACATGCTTCGATAAAATCCCCTTTGAGCGCCTTGTCCTCGGAATCAGGGCACCCAGACAACCGTCGTTAACGAAATCTATTCAGGATTTCGATGCGTCCTCTGCATCACCGCCATCTGATATACCATATGCGAAGCTCAGTTCATATGCTGGAGACGCTCTTTGCGCGCATTCACGCACGTCGCGCACACCCGAGTCGTTGGCGTCTCGATGACACCCAGGTCGCGCAGCGTGCATAGCAGGCGCTCAACACACTCACCAACTGAGAGCTTATCCGTATCCAGGATAACATCTGGTCTATCGGGCTCCTCGTACGGGTCGTCAATGCCAGTGAACCCGTGAATCAGACCGGCACGCGCCTTTTTGTAGAGACCCTTTGGGTCGCGCTGCTCCGCAACGGCCAATGGACAGCGCACGTAAACCTCAACAAAAGGGAGACTACTGGCCTCGTGCAGCGCTCGAGCGCCACGTCGATCGGCAGCATACGGTGAAATAAAGGCCGTAACGCAGATACAGCCCGCGTCGGCAAACAAACGGGCGACTTCGCCAGTGCGGCGAATGTTCTCTGCCCGGTCGTCGGCACTAAAACCGAGATCTTTATTCAGCCCGTGACGCACGTTGTCGCCATCTAGACGGTAGGCGAAGTATCCACGATGCAGAAGCGCTTGTTCCAAAGCGCAAGCGATCGTCGACTTGCCCGCCCCGGAGAGCCCGCTGAGCCACACCGTGCAGCCTGTCTGACCGAGCAGAGACGCCCGTTCACCTCGCGAGACGCTTCCCTCGTGCCAGTAAACACCACCACGAGACGATCCTGCTTCGTTGTTGTTGTTGTTGTTGTTGTTCGCCTTGAAACTATTATCGTTATGCAGCATGACGCTCGCCGCTGGGCCGCGCTTCCGCTGCTTCTACGTACGAGTTCCGCTAGGCGAAACGTTTTTCTCTGCGCCTGGCACCGGCGGATGCGGCGAAACGGACAGCACATCGGGGGCGCGCAAAGTGCGCGCGCTGCCGCCCTCCGCGAGTCCGTTACAGTGCGGGAGCGGTCCATGCTGGAATACCTGCGGGAGCACGCTGTTTTTTTTTCTTCTAGGTATTCTATGAATAGAATATCTGATGATGGTGGTGGCGATGATGTCTGGACAGAGGTCCTGGAAAGGCTCTAAGGTGTCATCGCTGTCATATATAGAATGGCGTTACTTGTCAGTATTTCAACGGGCATAGCAACGTCGAATGACGCTGCTCGTCGTCGACGCTGGCTCTGAACGTCACGCATCCTAGAGGAGAACCGGTCAAACTCTGACGAAATGGACGACGATCTCCTTCGAAAGGTATTCTACTGAATATGATGTGTAAGAGACAATGTTCACGATGCCGTCGAATGAGACGTCTCTATGCCCTCGATACGAACGGTGACGAAGGGACACGGGCGGACGTTGAGGCAAAGCACGCCTGTATGGGAGAGCGCCATGCGTTGCACAAGACACGATTGATTTCGTACTGAGAAGCGAATTTTTGTCAGTACAGGTTTGGATGGTGTTCGTCTCATTCGATGAGTCTTGATTCGGGAAGACTGGCAGGTCTGTGCATCGTTGATGAAGTAGGGGCAGACCTCCGGCCGTAAAGAGGAGTCAAGCACGTGCGACAACGGCTTCAGGCCCAGCGGGGAGTCAAGCGTGAGGCCGGCCCCAAATCGCCGAACGGTTAGGATTGCTCGACGACGCGTCGTTCATCGAGTCTCTCTGCCAAGCTCCTCCTTACCAAATTCGTCTGTCCTGCTCGTTAGCAATGTCGCGTTCCATGACTGAACAAGAAACAGGGAGCATACAGCTGGAATTTGGCTGGACCTGGTCTTCGTACCAGCCCATGCTCCCAGCTTCTATCCAGTGTACGGCATTGTCACTATCGGCAAACGCGGTTTTTACGCGCATAGATCACTAGCCAACAAGTTCGTCTCCGGCTAATCGATAGATTCAGGACGCCAACAGATATCGCATAGCTCCTTACGCGACAAAGTCTCGCGAGGCACCGCTCTCGCCCCGATGCACCTCGTCAAACGACTTGCTGTAGCCGATCCGGACGCAGGGCTACCAGCTGAGCAGATGCCTCTCGAAATTTTCGATAGAACCTTCATATGACAGGGTAATTGATGCTCAGACAGAATATGTAATATGGCTTGATTTCTCCATTGTTCGCGTTTATGGGTAGTCGAGCATTATGGACGCCAGCGTATATACCAACAAATGGCGTGACAGTGCCAACATCGATTCCGTAGCGCCCAGCACTGGACAGAGCAGAAGCGTCCACATGGCTCGTGCGAACGATTTTCGACAGCGTTCCGAGAGACCTCGCTGGGGCCGCCAACGGTATCGGTTGCATGGAGGCAAGATGCATAGATTTGCGGGCTTCATCAATGAAGTGGCAAAGAACATGACCGACAAGTCACGTGGTGCGGTATTCGCCTTTGGCGCAGGACGCGCTATAGCACGCGATGGCGGCACGCCCGCGGCATCAACTAGTGCGTCGAACGAGTAACGAGTCGATGCTGCGTGGTTGTCATCCACGGGATCCGACGACATTGGGATATTCGTCGCTCGCACGCACCAAGGACGCATGGTGCACACATGTCTAGCAGCTGGGTGTCTCTCTAAACGAGTGCCAACGAACGACAATGAATCGTTTCGGCAAACGGGCATACCCAGTTGCGCCTCAGGACACTCCAGCATCCCAGGTGAGCCTGGACCAAGTTCTGCCCGGGCTGGTTCGTGTGCCCGACTGCACATTATCCGAACTCGTCCAGGTACAGTCGAACGAGCGCGATACGCTGCTGCGCTCCACAATGGTGTCGAACTACCATCGCGAACTGAACTGCTCGTTCTGTTTCTATCTGTCGATTTTCTCTGCGAACTTGTGTTGATATTGCGCCTCTAATTTCGAAGTGCGGGAATTGGCGTTCTTGGATGCATACCTTGGTTTACGATTCTCGGCGGTTGTTTTCTCCGGGACGGCCCCTTCGACAAAGTCCCAGTAGAATTCGTCACCTCACCATCATCACAGTGACATGCGACAGATTCGTACAAGGGCTCTTATAATAACCGATATTTTAACGCAATGCAGAACAACAAGCCTTGACTCTTCTCCGTTCCGTAAATATCGCGTGCTCAATTCATACAGTTTCCTAGAACTCGATCTTTCTGTTTCAAGGTAACCGAGGAGCACAGCTATGCGCGTCCCTGCTTCGATGAGGAGAGAATCTCGACGACCTTCCTTGACGACTTCTTCCCAAGCGCATGTCAAATACTCGACGCGGGTCGAAAGACAGGTGCTTCTCTCTGTGTGCCCGTCGATGAATCGGCGGATTCAACCGCAGCACGATACAATTCAGGGGATATGCTCCCAGAGAGGCTACCCTGTCTTCTGTTTGCATGAAAAGTGTTCATGGATTCGTACTCTACACATAGCGGAGACGGCTTCCAATGGGGAAAGCTTCACAGGTTTCCATGAAGAGAACGCCACCGGATCGATAGTTCTCGGCAAGTTCTCCAACCTGCATTTTCCTTCCAAATCCCTACCACCATGGCGAACACCGCAATCCACAAATCTTCAATGGCATGGAACAGTGCGCACTCGCATATGACGCATACAGAGTACTCGTCGGGGGCATCGCCACTGACGAAGCTCGTGATCTTCGGGTACGGCACCAGACGCGAAAACGGTCGAGGGCATCGACGGGGAGTCTTCTGTACTCGTCTAGTGCGTGTACAGAGCGATGCAGCAACAGTTCAAGCGCCGGAGGGCAGTACTCGTACGAGGAAGCACGCTGGAGACAAGGCAGCATCTGACCATAGTCGGGTGTGATCGCTGCAAAGCGTACGCCGATGCCGCAAACAAATAGGTGAGCATGGCCAATGAAGATTCGATCGAAACTTTCGCCTGCGCCTATCACGTGTCTATGCCAACCGGAAATCCTATGAACGAGAATTTGGCCCTGTTATCACGATCCTCTGACTGATGCTCACGAAATCGGAGCGAAACGAGAGACCAGCGTATTTAAAGTTGGAGACGCGACACAGGAGACCGAAAAACCAACCCCCAAGTTCTGGTGCAGTTGACGATATGAAATAACGCAAACTTGCGCGTGTTCGCCCTCGTTGAGTCAGTGAACTCGTTGCAGTTCTATCCTGGCAGCCGTATAAGCGCTGCATACGTGCTGCGGGCCAGTCACCGGCATTTTACTCGATCCACAATACTTTTGGAGAAAAGAGCAGGGCATCCCCCGTGACCCCGAGCATACAAACCTCCGACAGCGCATCCATGGTGCCGTCGCACCGGGCGCCGGCACCACAGGCGCCGCCGATGCACTTCAATAGCTTTACGTCGCCTTGGGTGCCTGCAGTTGCACACAACGAGGTAACCGCCGCATTCCGGCTTCACTGGACGTTTACCACCGTTACCTATGGATAAAATAGATCAACTGACGCCATCACAGCGGGCGGAGCTTGAAGATCGTGTTCGAAATGAGATGCTGCGGCAGGCGTTTCAGGATCTCGTACAACGAGTGACGGAAAAGTGCTTTGAGAAGTGCGTGACCAAACCAAGCGCTACGCTGACCTCCGGGGAGCAGACCTGTTTAGCCAAGTGTGTCGATAGGTACATTGAGTCCATGGGAGTTGTTAGCAAGGCTATGATAGAGCGACAGCAACGGTCGTAGGCGGTATGTGCGCGTCGAGGATCTTTCAGCGTACAGCGAGCTGGCGCCGACACTCGGATAAACCGCTGCGAGTGGAGCCTGGTGAATGGGACCGCTGAGGTGGCGTTGTTTTCGAGTTAATCAACGGAACGCGCAGAGACTTGATAATACCTGTGGGTGACTCTATGCGAGTGGCACTGTAGCTCAGTGAATCGCGCTCGAGTCGAACTAGGTGCGGTCCCATAAGAGGGTGCAGTGCTCGCTGCGGCAGCAGCTATGGTAGGTAGCAGTAGCTGCGTCTCAAGCATGATGCATCGATCTCTTTGCACCAGAAAAGTGGTGTAAGTTGGTACAGGATACTAGCGAGCCTCAGTCATGTTCTTATCTTCATTGTTCCATCGCCAATGATCGCACTGGAGCTTCTTTGGCGATTGTTTGAGGTGTTGCTTCTTCGGCTCAATCGAATTTTCTTCCGTAACACTCGTTCCGAGTCAGTATCGGGCAGATGAATTGAAGCGGGGCGGTGTCTCTCCAGCAGGCCATGGATTGCATCAGTTTACAGCCATATCGAGCTGGTGGCGTTTTTCACCGACCACAGAGGTGTTTTGCTCTACTTTTCGTAGCGAAACGAGCTCTCTTGCGAAATTTGGATGCCGTTCAGTAGATATCGTTTTTGGTTTGGAAGCATGATTCGAGGGCTCGGCCCATCATGCGAGACAAGTGCCCTCTTTGAATGCAAGTGGATGTCTCTCAGATCCCATGCCATTTCGCTCTAGTCTGTTTTGCTCATCTGGAGAAACCCGAGTTGATCCAGCCGTACAACCCGTTCGTATGAGAGCTCGCTATCTTAATCGACCCGGGGGGTTGTCTGCTGCATGTCGAACTTTAGGCTTTTGTGATTTGTAATGCCCAGATCGCTATATCGAGATGTTGGCTCCGCTGGGCATCTGCTAAAAGTCATCACAGATATCACGAGGTAGCAAGTATCCCCGGTGAATGACCCTTTTGCGGTCAACGATGCCCAGATTAGGCAATAACGCGCTGGGCGGCAAACATCTAGCATCGTTCGCCCGGCGCAACGCAGCTAGGCGCTCTTCTGGGGCTCCGCGAAACGCCACTGATGTGCAGCGTGCGCTGCATCCGATAATCATGGACGGATTCGAACCCGAGTTTTATACCGTTTAGCAGGCGCTGCGTATCGACCAGATACGCCTCTGAGACGCGAAGGGCGCACGATTCCGAGTACGGGAGAGCTCTGAAAAAACCTGCCATTGCTGTTCGGCTTGGTCTACGATCCGCCTCGTCCATACGAACAGGCTAGCGCGCGCAGTCTCCCAGAAGCACGCGGAAGACGCGGAAGACGCCTTGCGCTCATGCTTGCGCGCTGCCTTGAATCCGTCGAGAACAGACGCACGCGGACCCCAGTCTCGCGCATTACAACAGCGCAACACAACGTGCGGAGTCCTTCAAGGCACAAGGCAAACCTTTCGATGTTACTGTGCGACTGCCCCGCCTTGTGCACATAGCGCTGTGCAGCATCGCCAGACACGACGCTGATTCTAAAAAGCGGGAGCTGTAATCGTATGGAGCTGCGTTCTGATGTTTCCGTGTGCATACGTGGCTGCGCCAAACGACCCGCTACACTACATACCAGACATCAGGGCGTGCACACGGTGAAGTTCTTCACAGCCATCCTGGTTTCCACGAAGCATGCTGACTAATGAAAGGACATCGCAACACATAACAGTGCATCACCAAGACTAGCGGCGCGTTGCGATAGGCCAGAAGCTATGCCCGCACACCCATAGATGACCTGGTTTTATGGCACACACTTTTTGATAAAAAATTACACCGACGCACATCAATGAATCACCAGGTATCGCAGCGCTCGCTTATGGGCTCTCAACTCAATGTTGGTGCAACCTCCGCTGCGGGGTATAGCAGCTGATCGAAAGCACGATGCAACGTGCCGGACAGATCGTAGTCGAATTGCCTGCAGGATATATGCTTTACTGAAGAGCGCAACAAGGACTGCATTTCTGAATCAGGTCAGTCATAACACAATACTCTGATGGCTGCGGAACCCTGAAAGAAACACGACTATATGCCCCGCGCGAAAACCCGATCGTCTCAAGGCGTGCTTGCGGTCCATCGTCAAAGGCGAATCTTTGATCACTTAACGGAAAGCAAAAGCAAAGATATCATTCGTCATGTGCGTCTATACTTCTCAACGTCTTATTCGTGTGATCCTGAAACACTGGCATAAAGTCGCAGAAACAAGTCCTAGTTTATGCACAGTCATCTTCCACTGAAATCGCAACAACAGAATTCCTGGAACTCAGCGATCGGTATGAAGCACTGGGACTTGGGGTGGTTTTTTCAGTCGATGAGAACTCCGTTAAGTGAAACCTTTGGAGCGCATGTGACTACTCGCAGAGCAGGAAGCCCGTTGTGTGCGCGATGGATCTCGAAGAGAACTCTGACGACATCATCTGTCCTAGCGGTAGTGGATTCATTTGCCGGCCGCGGTTTCGCTGGTACAGAGGATTCATACGATGGCACCAACGACTTTGCCGAATCATTGAAGACTTTTCCGCTGGCGTCTGGCGACATCCCTCTATAGGACAACGTGGTATTTCACCATTCGACTCGCGTTCGAGCTTTTGCCGAATCTATCAAGGGCAGAGCTGCTTTTTATTCCTCCGTGCGCTCCGTGGTTGAATCCCATGAAAGAATTGTTTTCTATTTTGAAACGTAATGATCGCTCCATTGGGCGCGTGTTTCTCTCTGAAAAAAGCATTTACATTGGCCATGGTTCCTAGGCTGTGGGATGGATATTAGCATTCGAAAAAAAGTTCGTCATGCAGCATCCGGCCTCCAGGTTCCATGACCCCTAGTTCCTCTCGAATATACTGGTTGTTTCGTACGGTCTATCGTGCGCCGAGTACTTGCCATGAGCACCCGCAGTAGCGCCTGTGCTGGTAGTGCGTACGTAGCACGGGGCCAGAACGGCTTTGCCACACCACTGGTGGGGGGGCGGGGTTTCGGCTCGATGCCTGCTCCATTCGACAAGGAGTCGGAGTACATAGCTATTCTGGGAGCATGTAAAGTGTACAGGCAGACCGACTGCCTGCGACAGCACGAATCGATAAGCTAGGAGTCAACCACGACCAGTGCGAAGCCCAGACTCAGCCTAACTGCACCTAGTCCCAGAATGAATTGCGTTGCAGACGAGCTGCTCAGAGCTCGCCACAGCACCTGCCACTGTCTAGAGAGTGAAGCACCAGCCTAGCAGACTCGTCTAGCTCACGAAACCTTCTGCCTACCAGGTGATCTTTCCACAATACGGAAAATAGTTCCCTGTGCTTCGCTTACCATAAGGATGGAAACAAAATTGTTGTAAGTTCGTGCCTCGCTTCGAGTTCCCGTGTCGAGGATCATTGCCTCCAGTCTGCCTACAAGGTGATCTTTCCACAATACGGAAAACAGTTCCCCCGTGCAACGCTTACCATAAGGATAGAACGACCTTGTTGCACGTTCGTGCTTCGCTTCGAGTTCCCGTGTCGAGGATCAGTGCCTCCAGGCACCTGCCTATAAGGTGATCTTTCCACAATACGGAAAACAGTTCCCCCGTGCTTCGCTTCGAGTTCCCCTGTCGAGGATCAGTGCCTCCAGGCACCTGCCTATAAGGTGATCTTTCCACAATACGGAAAACAGTTTCCCCGTGCTTCGCTTCGAGTTCCCGTGTCGAGGATCAGTGCCTCCAGGCACCTGCCTACAAGGTGATCTTTCCACAATACGGAAAACAGTTTCCCCGTGCTTCGCTTCGAGTTCCCGTGTCGAGGATCAGTGCCTCCAGGCACCTGCCTACAAGGTGATCTTTCCACAATACGGAAAACAGTTCCCCCGTGCTTCGCTTCGAGTTCCCGTGTCGAGGATCAGTGCCTCCAGGCACCTGCCTACAAGGTGATCTTTCCACAATACGGAAAACAGTTTCCCCGTGCTTCGCTTCGAGTTCCCCTGTAGTGGATCAGTGCCTCCAGGCACCTGCCTACAAGGTGATCTTTCCACAATACGGAAAATAGGTCCCCCGTGCTTCGCTTCGAGTTCCCGTGTCGAGGATCAGTGCCTCCAGGCACCTGCCTATAAGGTGATCTTTCCACAATACGGAAAACAGTTTCCCCGTGCTTCGCTTCGAGTTCCCGTGTCGAGGATCAGTGCCTCCAGGCACCTGCCTACAAGGTGATCTTTCCACAATACGGAAAACAGTTCCCCCGTGCTTCGCTTCGAGTTCCCGTGTCGAGGATCAGTGCCTCCAGGCACCTGCCTACAAGGTGATCTTTCCACAATACGGAAAACAGTTTCCCCGTGCTTCGCTTCGAGTTCCCGTGTCGAGGATCAGTGCCTCCAGGCACCTGCCTATAAGGTGATCTTTCCACAATACGGAAAACAGTTTCCCCGTGCTTCGCTTCGAGTTCCCGTGTCGAGGATCATTGCCTCCAGTCTGCCTACAAGGTGATCTTTCCACAATACGGAAAACAGTTTCCCCGTGCTTCGCTTCGAGTTCCCGTGTCGAGGATCAGTGCCTCCAGGCACCTGCCTACAAGGTGATCTTTCCACAATACGGAAAACAGTTTCCCCGTGCTTCGCTTCGAGTTCCCCTGTAGTGGATCAGTGCCTCCAGGCACCTGCCTACAAGGTGATCTTTCCACAATACGGAAAATAGGTCCCCCGTGCTTCGCTTCGAGTTCCCGTGTCGAGGATCAGTGCCTCCAGGCACCTGCCTATAAGGTGATCTTTCCACAATACGGAAAACAGTTTCCCCGTGCTTCGCTTCGAGTTCCCGTGTCGAGGATCAGTGCCTCCAGGCACCTGCCTACAAGGTGATCTTTCCACAATACGGAAAACAGTTCCCCCGTGCTTCGCTTCGAGTTCCCGTGTCGAGGATCAGTGCCTCCAGGCACCTGCCCCGCTTTCGCGTCTGGGGCGCGCCGCCCGCAGCAGCAGCAGCCGCCGCCGTCCGCAGCGCACTCTCCGTCGGCTGCGGATATACCGATGTCGCCGGCCGAGTTCAGGAAACGTACCTGACAAAAGCAGTGCACCAGGGACGGTGTGGTGTCGAATTTTTTGAACAAGGGACCTCCACTGCATACAAATACCGATATCGAGCGAAGCGATCGGGTCACCTGTTTCCTCGTGAGTGCACAACGAGGCGGCTCCAGGGGACACGTCTATCGTACCCGTTCACAGCGTACCTACACTACGCGGCGTTCGAGAGCAGCCAGTACTCCCTGGGTACCATTGCCCTCACTTCACACGAAGAGCTCGCTTCCAATTGGTATTTGCTTACGACGACACCATGACTGTAGGGGGTCTAAAGCACATCCAGGTGGTACCGGAGGCACTGGACCTCATCGATATCGTACTCTCTCAGACACAGCGCAAAACCCCCACCGTTGTGCACCCAGGGTATGCGATCACTCGGATTCGGACGTTCTACATACGCAAGGTGCGCTATGCTCAGTCATGTTTTCATGAGCGCCTGACAAAGATCCTCAGCGACTTTCCGATTTTAGAGGAACTACATCCCTTTTATGCGGATATTTTGAATGTGCTGTATGACCGAGATCACTACAAACTGGCCCTTGGTCAAGTAAGTCGGATACGCAGCCTTGTGGACAGCTTTGCACGCGACTACGTGCGCCAACTCAAATACGCAGACTCTCTCTACCGTGCCAAGTGCCTCAAACGAGCCGCTCTGGGTCGAATGTGCACAACGGTGAAACACCTTCGCCCAGCGTTAGCGTATCTGGAGCAAGTGCGCCAACATATGGCGCGCTTACCTAGTATCGACCCTATGACGCGAACGCTGCTGATTGCGGGCTATCCGAACGTTGGCAAGTCATCGTTCTTGAACTGCGTCACCAACGCCAAAGTCGACGTCCAACCGTATGCGTTCACCACAAAGTCCCTGTTTGTCGGTCATATGGATTACCAGTACCTGCGTTGGCAGGTCATCGACACACCTGGTCTTTTGGATCACGCCCTCGATGAGCGCAACACCATCGAGATGCAGTCGATTACAGCGCTGGCACATCTCCAGGCGGCGATTCTGTTCTTCGTGGACCCGTCAGAGACCTGTGGCTACGCCATAGCCCAGCAACTGGCCTTGCTTCGTTCCCTTCAACCGCTGTTCGCTGACAAGCCTCTTTTCGTGGTATGCAATAAGACGGATCTTGGCTGGGAACAGCAACTCGATCCGGCAACGTGGACGGCGATACGGGAAACCGCCGAACAAGTGGGCGCAGAGCTGATGACGGCATCCACGATGGGCGACGACGGATATGCATCGGTGTTCGCGGTTCGTAATCGCGCTTGTGAACGACTTTTAGCGCTGCGTGTCTCTCTCAAAGTTAGCGGCAGACAAACGGACTCTGTACTGAACCGGCTGCACGTCGCGGAGCCGAAGCTCGTTCGCACACCGCAGATTCCCGCTTCAGTCCTCGAACGCCGCCAGGCTCTGCGCGATGCGGACGATGCACTTAACCAAAACACCGCACCTGAACTGGCCTGCACCTTGTCGACAAGCCGAGCAGGCCGGAAGACGGAGCGTGAACTGGAACGCGACCACGGAGGTGCAGGCGTCTACAGCATGGACTGGCGCAAGCACTACGACCTAACAGACCCAGCATGGCGCTATGACTACATTCCGGAGATCGTAGACGGCAAGAACATAGCGGACTATGTTGATCCGGAGATTCATCAGAGGCTGCTTGCCCTTGAGCAAGAGGAAACGATGCGTCAGAGTATGCTTTCAGACGCCGTCGGTGACGAGCCGCGTGCAGACGTCCCGGTTGATCAACCGTCAGACACCGATGTCGCGCTGATTCGGGAGAAAGCTCGCAACCAGCGACGGCTTCGTCAGCAGCAAGCTGCCCGAGACCGCACCCAACGACCTAAGCTATCGCGCAAAGCGCTTCTCAAGGTACGCAAGACGTCGCAGGCGGTTGCAAAGCGACCATGGGGGCGCGCTGTCGACCCAAGCACCACCAAGCAGCAGACCAGAAAAGCAGCTCACTCTGCACCAGTTGTCTATCGAACTCGAGCTGTAAGCGATCAGTCCCTGGTTCCTGCTGGTCTGCGTGATGTTGTGCAGGCTCGCCACGCCCAGAAACTCGTTCAGCGGACGCTGCGTCGCGCGTTTAGCGGACGAGAGCACCGCCAAGGCGAGTCTGATCGTTTCATCGGTACGCGCAAACCGCATCACCTCTTTGCGGGCAAGATGAGCCTTGGTACGCGTAGTCATCGCTAAACGCGATCCCGTTGGTTCGGGGACCAGCTCGGAGGACGCGAGCGCTCCTCCGAACGGCCTGCGCTCTAACCGGGGCCACGTCCGGCAGCCTCTTTCGCCCTGACCTGTGTGCGTATTCCCGTATGCTATTCGTGCTTGACACGAGCTGCTGGATTACCCATGATCCGACGAGCAGGATCGATCTGGGCTCTTCGACAGGTTGCGTAGGCCTCAATCGTCCCTCGACACGTGTCCGGTACTCCAGCGGCGTCGCGTCGAGCACAGTCGCTCAGTGCTCGCGTTGGGTCAGGATGCGAACGCACACACTCCGAGTCCGAAAGACACCGAACCATTTCCTCGAAAAGCTCTCGACACGAAGACGACATGCCGAGAACGTGCTCCACACAGAGAACAGCGCGCAATCCCGAGTGCAGCGGTTGGTGCGCAAGTTCGCATCGTGGAGCACCCACGGAACACATCAACTGCGTGGCCTGGCGGGGATCGAGCCCCGTGAAATAGCATAGAATGCAACTCAGGTACGCCAACAAGGGTTTAAATTTTGGGTCTGATTCCAATGTCATCGATAATAGGTTTGGTGGGATACTCGTGTGACAGCGTTCGTTCGAACGCGCCCTCTCTTTCCATATCTTCGGTTTGAACGAAGCGCGTGTCTTTTGGCCTGATAGGTCTGTTGACAGCGGTCGAAGGAGGATATGGATGATGGCGTTCCATACTGGTTTCTGGTACGTTCGGCTCCTGTCGATGCATTCCATGAAGAGGCGCAGGTAGCGATGTATGCTTTGCATGTCATTTTCATGTTGTTTGTCGACAGCTTCGATGCGCTTCTCACAGCGGTATTATACGTGACTGCGATTCATTGTACAGCTATTTCCACCACACGTTCTACGCTGAGCGCCGTCACTTTGCACGTGAGCTCTTGCTTTATTGCTCGGTACACGCCCATGACGGGTACAGAGGGCTCCTCGTCGATGCTCGCCTCTGTTTCCGCACGGCGTGTTGTACTCGATGATGACGGGCCTCTTCTGGGTGATCCGCTCGGAGCGTACACTGTGCGCTGCTTGTACAAGCGCACAGTGTCGTATTCGACAGAGAATTTGCAGAACGCCGTGAAGTCGTCCATGATGAATCAAGTGCCCGAGGGAATATCCCAGGAGGCGTCCCGTGCAAGCAAAGAGGATGCGTCGACGCAGCCGTCCTGCCAGGCGTCGATCCAACCTCCACTCGAAGCGATCGCTACGATGACTAGAGTCGGAGTCCAAGATACCTTGCGATGCAAATGGATGGCGCTCGGTCCTCTGAGCGCACACCTCGTGTGTGAGGTACCCTGCCGCAATGAATTGGCGTTTCGTACATGAAAGGAGCATGTGTCAGTCAAACGGAATCCATGATTTAACGTGACATGTTCGGTGAATGATCCGTATGAATTTTTGCGGAAGTCGCCAAGGCACGACGTCGAGGCTTACGTGTCGCTTATTCGGCAATCTGTGTTGCCATGCATCCCCGTTGTCATTGAATACAAAGATCGGAAAGTTGAAGCACACATACTTTCGGCATTGTGCACACAAGGGGAAGCGTGGAAGCCAGGCCCCTATTCATTGCATCATGATACCTGTTACTTTACGAACCTTTTCTCCATGGCGTCGCTATTTCGCTTGATTCCGGAGAAGCAATAAATTCCAGTGACGGAGCGTCGAATGAGTCACTCCGAAATGGCGCCTGGATTGCCAGAAACGACATATGAAGCCGTTGGTCCCCGATATTGATGCACTTGCTGCGTCGCGATTGTACCTCGGAAGATAACTGGCAAATTATCGAAATACTGGAACACACCGAACAGTTCAGTGCTCCATTTGAATCTGAAACGGGTGTCGCTCATGCACGAGAACGTCGGACTGCAAGTACTTGCGCAAAAAGTTTCTATTCCTATGGTAAAAGCGATACACACATCCAAGGCCAGGATCCATACCATCGGCCTGGAACGTACCAATGCCATGCGCGTTGAGATATGCGTTGAAAGCTAGACGAATCCAAGGCTAGCATCCATAGCATAGTACACCAGGTTCCGGTTCGAGAGGCTCCCATGGATACAGTTCGCCCCGTGCTTCCACGCAATGCTATTGTGCTATGGAATCGATGCTCGCATCGCAGCTAGAATAAAAACCTATCTCACTGTACGCTTTGGATAAGCACCGGGGTAACCGCCTACGCCGAGCCCTGGAACCCGCTTTTCCACACTCCTTAACGCGGTGCATGCCGACCAGTGCCCGCTCCGGAACGCTCAAGGGCTCGCTGCGCGAGTTGCACCAAAGAACCCACAACAGGTACCCGTTGGTCGACACCAACTTGCGCCCCGTACGCAGCAGAGGCCTCGCTCTGGTAACGGTTTCCAGCCGATGCACCCACGGCAACTGCTCCTGCTCCCAGTGACGCCAGCACCGCATCTGAATCAGCCTCTGTCGCTTGTTGTCGCGGTGGTCCGGTTTGCGAACGCAACAAACGCTGCCAGTTGCGTTTGAACCAGCTGACCAAGTCATCAACTGACGAGAACACCTGATCACGAAGTCGGTAACCTGTTGGGGTGAGGGTAATGGGCTCGTACAGCACAGTCGCTCGACCCGGTAGATACGCAAACACCAAATGCGCTGGACGATGTCGACAAAACGCGAGTCGATAGGGGATGGTGCTGGGAGCTTTGGCCTTCTCTTGCCGTAGTAAGGCTTCCAGTGCCGTGGTAGCCGCCGCAGCGTTGTCGTGTTCACCAACAAGCATAAACTTGGGATGCTGCGTCGCTCTCCAGGCGAGCTGAACAATCGGTTCAATATAGCGTGCAAAAACCTCGTCCAAGTCGTCGAAGAGCTCCGCATCCAGACGCAGCTGCCACTGCTGTGTGACGTGCTCGCCACTACCAGCAGCAGCAGGAGCAGCACCAGCACTAGCACCAGTGGCGTTTCCGGCAACCGCACCGGAACCGGACCCCACAGACTCCACCACCAACAAGTCCAAGTGCACAATGGGCGCCTCGTCGTGGATTTTGAACGAAGCACATACCGCTTGGGCATCGCGGGAACAGGGACGATAATAGACGGTGCCAGGCGGCGCTTGGGCAAGCTCCTGCACCACCTGACGCCCACTAAGCGCACGGTACGCAGGATGGCGCAACAGGCCCGTGGGAAGCACACGTGATGCTCTTTGGGATAGCAGCGTCGAAGAGGACAAATGATTCGTAGCAGCAGCAGCAGCAGCAGCAGCACTCGATGTGTTAAAAGCGTCAACACCTGCAGTGCCTGCGGTGGTACCAGGAGGCGCGCTTCGCGACACCGACTCCAGCGGCACTCGACCCGGCAGGTGCGCCATTCGCTCCGCCAACCACGCAAGCTCGGCTGGTAACGGCTCCAGCGCCATGAGCTGCACCTGGAGCGCCTCTCCGTCCACAGCCTTAACGCGAAGCGGTAAGAGCGGCACTTGCCCCAGGGCAGCAACCGAGGGCGTTCCGAAGTAGCGCTCCTCCGCCCGTGCATGCACAGAAGCAGGCCACATGCTGCCCCATGTCGCTGCCTGGCGGACTTGTCGCCAGACTGCCGGCACTTGTGCTGCCTCCAGACGACCAGGAAGCCAGTCGCTGGCAACCGAGGCGGTTGCGGGAACCACACGACAACGCCAAGCGCTACCGCGCTCTACAGGACGTCCGTCAAAGGCGTGCACCCGCGTTCCATAGCCAAACAGGCACTCATCCAGGTCGGTGCAGGCATAGAAGAGCGCTTTGCCTTGTAACGAGGAGCGCGTCCGACGCCAATCCGCAAATGGTCGGTAAAACTCATTCGCAATCAGGAATAGAATGTGCCGCTTACGACCGTGTCCAGCCTGTTCCAGGTGCGCTGCGTAGCCGGGCAAGTCGAGCTCCTCGATCGCTTCGGGATGCTCCAACAAATGCAACACCAACACCGCTGCAGGCGTCGACGCTAAACGCTCTGCATTCCAGTACCGTGGATCGTGCTCCCGCAACGACTCCACAACGATCTTCATCGCCAGCGGTTCGTCTACCGGGTGGATGCGGGTCTCGTCTAGTGGTCGCCAGGTCGACACATCGACGCTGGAAGCACGTCGTCTCCACTGGGCAAGTCGTTCACGTGCATACGCTGCCGCCGAAGCACCCTGAAGTGTCGTCGACGCTTCGCCTGTGGCGCCTGGACCGCCGCTAGTCGTCCCGTGGATCCCGCTCGAAACCCTCAGATACGCTATGAGCGAGTCGAGCACCCGCCGAGTCGCTGCCTTGCTGCGCAATACTGCCTGACGTGACGGGACGCTTGGGGGTCGTGTGGCGCCCCTGGAAAACTGGTTTCGCAGCGTCTGGATGAAAAGGGATGCTTTGCGAACCCCAAGGCCGGGCGCAAACGCCATCAGAGGTTGCAGATGACGATAGCGCAACAAGAGGTTCAGGTCGAGGCCCAGTGAGGCGACCGCATGACGCAGTGCTCGTTCCACGACCAGCAGACGATCACTGGGCGAGGTCACCATGCCATCGAGGCCAAGGTCCAGTTGTGTATGCAGACTCGGGTCCGTGACTTGCTGCCAGCTTGTAGCGTCATGGCCTGCAGCGTCCGCCGTAGCCGTGGTATCACCAGTTTCATCCGTACGGCGGGTAGAATCCAGCATCTGTTGTTGTTGTTGTTGTTGTTGTTGTTGTTGTTGGTGTTGCGGACGACAGCGCACAGTGAGGCGCAGCAATGCACCCAGGGATGCCTCTGTTGCAATCGCTGCATACACCGCCAGCGGTTCCTGACAGAGTCGCGCTACACCAACAGCCCGTCGCAAGGGCAGACCGTCGCACTCGGGAGGCACCATGCCTCCGAGTGAAGCGCTCAGAGTCTTCGTTTTCGCGTACAGGCGAGCAGCATCATCGTCGATACGCAGCACATGCGGCTGACGCCCAACCGCCTGCTCACGCCTGCTACCGAGACGCTGCTCTATTCCGCGTATCCATTCGTAGAGCCAGAGACTTGCCGCATTCACGCCAATAGGACTCCCAGAAGCGACCCCAATAGCGACACATTGCCGGTGCGGATGACGCTGGAGGAAGCGTTCCAGTCGCGAGCGCACCTGCGGCGGCATCTCCAACGCTGAAGCGCCCGCGGCAGCAGCAGCAGCAGCAGCAGCAGCAGCAGCGCCACCACTTTTTGCCTGTTGCGCTGCAACCAGTTGCCCTAAGAGCCGCTCGTCGCCGGGCAGCCAGCCATGGCAACCCAGACGCAGCGTGTCCAGCACTTGGCCGTAGGCATCGAGGGCAACACCAAAGATCCAACGAGAGCGTGTCGTCGGGTACTCGGACTCGTCGGAGACTACAAACGCGAGCACACCACCAGCAGCGGTACCAGAGAGGACACCGAACGCACCAGGTTCATGTGCGTTTGTCGATGCACTGCTGGGACTCGCGCCACCGATGACGAGTTGCTGTTCCAGGGCGCTGACTGCCGCGAGCGCACAAGCACCTCGCGCTTCCTCGCGTAGACACTCGAGCAGTTCCGCGAGCAGCGGCGGTAGCAACCATACCCGCAGCAGTTGCTCGGTGAGCATCTGCCGGCGTGCAGCATTCCAGACTTGTGCCGACTCGTACAACTTGTCGCTGAGGAGCGCGCGTTCCAGGATGGACTCGAGCTCCGCTTCATCAGGCGCCGCTAGCGAGCATTCCATGTGCTCCACCAGGCCAAGGCGTTCAGCGTAAATGAAACGAGCCATTTCTGCTGGGTCCAGGGCTGCAACCGGTAGCGCTTCCACTGAACAGTACGGACGCAAAGGATCCAGTATATCGAGGTCTTGGAGGGCACGCGCACTCGGTTTCACGGTGAGGTGCGCCTTTTCGCGCAGACGCGTCCGGGTAAAGTGCCGAAGGCGCGGGTGTGCCGCATAAAGCGCCCCAGCTACCTGACGAACGTAGCGCAGATACCGTTCGATACCGACGGCAGCAGTGCTCTCGGTAACATCAGTAGATCGAAGCAGTTCTTCGAGCGACGGCTTGTTTGGATGATCAGCAGGTTCGGTGATGAGACTGCCACCCGAGAGCACGTTGGAGGCCAAATCGGCAGCCTTGATGCCATAGAGCGCCTCTACATCGAGCTGGTGTGCAACAACCCAGGATATCGCCACATGAAGCGCATCACGACGCGACGGAGTGCGACCAGCCCTGCGACGACCAGGGGCTTGCGGGTGCACCTGTCGAGGCTGCAGTGTTCCCGGTTGTTCCGCTGAAGTCGCTATCTCAGCGTTGGTACGCTGCAAATCGCTACGACTGTTGCTGCTACTGCTGTTGCTGTTCTTCGCGCGTGCTCGCGGCTGCATGGCCTCGGCATTCCCAATTGTTGGCGTTAGGGTCTCGGTCGAGTGCACAGGTGCCGCATCCCGGTGCTCTTCGTCGTCTGACGCGTGTCGCAAAGCAGCTGCAGCGGTTGCTTGCTGCAACTGATCCATTGCGTCGTCGGAGACGGTACCAGCAGCTTCGGAATCAAGGCCGACTTCAGGGTGGATGCTGCCGTTTGCCGCTTCCGCCGCAGCTGCAGCTGCGGTGCGGTGCTCCTGTCGCTGGTAGGCGTCGGTGCTGGGCGCCAGCAGAGTTTCTGCTGCCACCTGACGCAGCGACTCGGGACTTGCAGCCTCTTCACGACCTGCTGACGCTGATGCCGATCCATTCTTGTCCCCGTGAGCTAGCTCCCGACGCAGTCGCGCGTATTTTTCCACATCCTGGAGCATCTCACGGCGGAATGCTGCCGTAGCCAGCTGCAAAAGCTCCTCTTCACCCTGTTCCTCATAAACGTCCATAAGGCGGCGCTTCTGCTGAAGGAACTGGAAATAGTATCGGTCCCAGTCGAGGACTCGCCAGAGGCGTGTCCAGTCGCCCACGAAATGTGTCGGACTCTCCAGCACTGGAGCTTGTTGCTCGCCAGTGCCTCGCTCGAGCGGAGGCAGAAGATCGGGTTCCAGGTAATCTCGTCGATACATGGCGATAAAGGCGATGTCCAGGTGCTCCAGATGCAGGAAGCGCAGCAAATGCGCGACCTGATCCACGAGCGATGACTCTGGAGCCGCCTGTCTACTCGACCGAAGCAGGTCCACGAGTCCGTTGGTGACGATCCACTCTGCCTCGTAACGAATATCGCTCTCGTCCATGAGCTCGCGAGGGAGTGGATTCCCCGCTTGATCCCGCCCGCAGTGATAGAGTTGGGTGTACTCCGGCAAATCCAGTGCACGAATCGCATCATCCTGAGGCGTTGCATACATTTCCGCGAGCAGCTCTGTCTGCTCGACGGAGAGGCTCTCGTGTCCGGCGCTCTTGGAGGCTTCCGCACCCGTCGATGCATCCTCCTCCGCTGACGACGGCTCTGGTACTGCCCACGACTCCAGCGACAAGACGTTCTCAATATCGCGTGGATCATTGACGCCGATTCTCTGGAGCCATTTGCGAATCTGCTCGGGATCATCGTGATAGAGAAGCGGCTCTCCGCGGTAGTTCTCAAGTGAATCGGCATCACCGAAGAGCTCTCGCAGCAGTGCTGCAGCGTAAGGATCCAGTTCGCTGGACAGGCGCCCGCCTCGGAGTGAGGCTTGCAAAGCAGCTCTCGCTCGTTCACGGGCGAGGCGGCGGCGACGTTGCCCAGCTGCCCCATCACCATAGTCAATGAAGTCGGCTAAATCATCCTCATCATCGTCGCTGCCGATTTCTTCTTCCTCTATTTCAGAGTTTTGGTCGATCGACGCCTCATCTGCGAGATTCTGATCATCGGTGCCGCCGATGCCGGCACCCAGGCCTGAAGCACCCACCGTGGCATTCGCTGCTTGATGAGGACTAGCAGGCAACGACGCTTGCTTTTCTCCGACAGACGTGAACTTTTGAGCGTCCACAGCGCCTGCAGCTCTATCGGCTTCGTCTCTGTCGCCAATCATGCCAAACGGTGCTACGGAGGTCGTATCAGGGGAAGCCTCGATCTTGTCGTTTTCGTCATCGTCGTTCTCAGAGGTCATCTCCAGGTCTGCGGCCTGGCGAAGTCGTCGACGCCGGCGAGACCGACGACCTCCTGGATGCAACTGTCGCTCTGGAATCACAACACCGGCTTCACGCAGGAGTTCGATATCACCCTCGGCGAGTTCTGGACTCGAACGCGTACGTTTGCGGCGACGAGCCCATTCATCGGTCACGTCTGCATCTGTTGCATGTGGCAATGTGTCTGAAACAAGTCCGCGCTCGCTGGCCGGTGAAGCGTTTCCCAGTATGCTTTCGTCCGACGTGGTTGCGACACGCTGGAGCGTTGTAGGCTCAGCGGCTGCTGGTCGTGGACCTTCGTCATCTTTGTCAACCTGGAGCACTGGGTCACGGGATTCCCCTTCGAAATCCGGGTCGTCCATGATTCGGGGCGCCCGTTTGTGCAGCGCTTGTAGGGCACTCTGTTCCTGCACTAGATGGGATAGCGGATCAGCTTCCGCAGGAACCACCGCCCCGCTCACTGGTGCTCCCTCTCGTTCGTCGTTGTGATCTTGGGTCGCTCTAGCGGCAGCGGATACCTCGCTGCTGTTTGTGTGTTCAACGGGCTCCATAGCGGTGCTCTCGGGGTCACTTGGAATAGAGTCGGCGAGCAGGCGTCTCTAAAAACGCAGCCACAGAAGCCGCGTTCTCTCTGGTTCACGAAACGCTCCTTCGAGCCGCCGTGTGCCGTGAAGAGACCCCTGGGCAGCGAGTCTTGTGACAGCGTGCAAGAAACTTGACCTCCGATGCGCTTGTTGACGATTCCTAAGCACAACTAGGCACCAGCCGCCGTACACCCACCCGTCAACAATGGTAGGTCTCGGAGTTTCTAAAGTCGTACGACACACCGGCTTATTCGGACTCCAAGACAAATATATGCACAGTACCTGTTCGAGACCAGACCTAAACTAGCGCCGGAGGTCTCCTGGTCCCACAGACTCCACCCGAACGCGAACGACGACTCGATAGCTATCCAAGCCTAAGCGGAATAGCGGACTAGGTGTGCTCGCTTCGAGCAGCTACGGATCCTGTTCTTCGAGCTGCGGCTCGCTTGCACGCTGTCTTCAAAGCGAAGCCTTTCGAAGGGTTCCGCGGGAACCCGAGTATGTTCAATGTGCACCTAGTCAATGTTATGAGCGTACCCGACAAGTACGATAGCGGAAAGAAAGCAGGTGCGAAACGCGCTTGGTAACGTCACTGAACGGAACGCCGCTCAAAGCGCTGCAGTGCAGCGTACGGCACCAGGGATAGAAAGTCGGGTAGCGTTGTTGCTCTAGTTGTTGTTGTTGTTGTCTCCTGCACGCTTTTGGATCGGCGGAAAGGAGTTAAGCTATAGTGTCCGCTGTGCCGGTAGATCGTTGAGCCTGAACAGACCTGGAGTTTTCCTGATTCGATGGAATCCATAGAACTCGGTTCATATCTTGCGTCCTGTATTCTCCGGGATACTTGAGTCCAAGCGCGCTTATGACACTTGTAGAATAAAAGTGGGACGGGCGCACACCTAGCGAACTCGAGTGTACATAGTGAAGTTTGCAGCTTTTACCAGCTGGTGCTCGTGGTAGCCTTTGCGATCTTTTTTCTGCGACTGCTTTCTTCGGAGCTCTCGTACCTCCGGCTTGAATCTCGTGGGTGTCTCCTGTCTCTTCAGTTCGGTTTGCATCACTTGGAGGACGTTGATGGCAGGCTTCATGACACCATGTCGTCGCCTCTGGCTGTTGTCCGCGCATAGCATGATCAGGAGGGCTATGAGCGAATGCATTCTCGACTTTTCTTGCCATGTTCATTCTCTTTGTTTACAGCATCGGAGCGCCCTTGATAGCGCCGACTATTTGCTATGGTGCGGTATCTCCTTAGGAGTGCACCATAACGCACCATGACTACCTATTTTTCCTCGTCTGAAGACCGCTCCTGGAGCATAAACGCTTGGTGTATCGCTCGGTTCATCTACTCGATCGGTTCACCGGGCTATCGTGAATGCCCTCCACCGTTTCATGGTCCAGTGCCGTGCACAGGAATCGCGGGCTTCTGCGGGGCAAAGTCCACGGTGAGTACATTGGCTGCCGAACACGCAGATATCCGCACTTCTAGGCTATTGAAGATATATCGAATGCGATGCTGTCCATGACGAGACGAGTACTGGAAGCAAAATCCATGCTGGAGAGCAAGTCGAGAAACTTCGATCCGTTCACGATCCCTTCACGCAAAGCAGTCACAACCTTTGCGCTGAAAGAGCTTGCTGCTAGGATTCAGGTCCAAATCTAGGACCTCCGTCTACGCAAACCGAAGAGTCGGAGTCTCTGGTAGCGAACCTCTAACGCGGTACCATGCAGCTGTCGAGTCTTGTTCTGTTTCCGCCTACAAAGATATGGTGATTTGGCTTGGTTACGAAACTCATTTTTTGGCGTGCAAAGTACGGGAAGCGTTTCGCAAGAGCTTGCCATCAAGTCGCCGAAGGATGCTGTCGAGTATTTCTCCTCGGCATTTCAGTAGCACCAAACACTGTACCCAGGCGTTGCCTTGCACCAGAACGATCGAAGTTTGAAGAATCCGGGATTTGAACGTTCCATACGTAAGGAGGCGAGAAGCATAGAAGCCTGCCCCTATGCATTGGACAGCGATTCCATGCACGTTAGGAATCCTTGTTCGAGCGCTTCACGAACTGTCTTGATACCGTTGATTGTACGAATGTCAGTATCCAAGAGTCTAAACAGCAGCTCCCAAAAGACAATCCAGAATCCTAAAACGACGTACGCATCCACAATAATTCTTGACTCCTCCACGTCGAATGTCAAGACGGTACGCATGAGAAAATTCCCCCGACATCACAAGGCACACTTAGGGTAGTTCGTTCAGTGTTCCGTTTTCACGCGACACCTGTGAGGCGTCGCCGGCGACCTGCAACCGCACAGCACGTGCCCACGGCATTTTCTTGGACTTGTATGCAACGCCTCTTCCAGATGCAAGATCGACGGCAGGGTCAGTCACCGTACCCCATGGTATCGATGGAGGAGGCCTGGAGAACTGTCCAAGAAGTGGCACTTGCCTTGGCGGAACGACTGCAGCAAGCTGGACCCGTTCTCGCAAACTGGGATGATGCCGCACTGCAGTCGGGAACGGCAGTTTTGGCGGACGCTATCACCGCTCCCTGGCCGGTACCACGCTTTGATATGGCACTAAAGGACGGATACGCTGTCCGTAGTCAAGACTTGCTTTCGAGCCGAACACTGCGCTGTATAGGTTGTCAGGTGGCTGGGCAGGTAACACCAAAGGTCGACGGCCTCGCTGCGGGCACCTGCAGGTACATCACCACGGGAGCTCCGCTACCACCAGGGGCAGACGCTGTCGTTCCTGTCGAGCAGGTGCAGGTGCTTGAGAACGAGACATCAGGAAGCGCCCCGAAAAGCTCAGACGAACCGTTTGAGTCTTTCCATATTCTGGTTGCATCCGGTTACAGCGTTCCAGCCGGCTCCGAGGTGCGCCACCAAGGCGACGACGTCGCTTTCGGTCAAGTCGTGCTAGAACGAGGTCAACAACTGGGTGCTGTTGAACGCAGTGTTCTCTGTAGCTTTGGCGTTCAACGATCGATACCGCTGCAACGAGTTCCGCGAGTTGCCGTGCTCTCTACTGGCAGCGAACTTTGCGACCCGTCGGCGTCACCATCCTCGCTCACCGCTGGAAGCGTCTACGACTCGAATCGTCCGTTGCTACTGGGTCTATTACGGCGCTACTTACCACCATCGCATATCATTGATGCCGGTATCGCTTCTGACGAAGAAGTCGCTGACAATCTCGCGGCACTTTTGACGAATGCACAGCAGGATGTACTCATTATCAGCGGCGGTGTGAGCATGGGCCTCAGTGATGTCGTGAAACCGCTCCTGGCTCAGCATGGACGCATTCATTTTGGTCGATTGCGGATGAAACCGGGCAAACCGATGACCTTTGCAAGTAATCTTTGTTCAACGAAGCGGCCCTGGCTCGCGTTCGCGCTCCCCGGTAACCCAGTGAGTAGCAGCGTCTGTTTCGCACTTCTTGTCGTCCCAGCAATTCAACTGCTGAAAGGTGTCTCCATAGAACGAGCCTATCCGCGCTGCATCATCGGTCGTCTAGCGCATGTCGTGGTACCTGATGCGGAGCGCCCCGAGTTTCAACGAGCGCACCTGCTTGCACCGACGTGTCTGGGGAGCTTTTGTCGGAGCAGCGCAACAAGCGAATCCTTCAGCTGCTTTGCACGAATGACGGAGGTATCTCTGACGTCCGCCTTGGATTCGAAACAGGCCGAGTCCTATCTGCCACTGTTCTCCATAACCGGAAATCAATCAAGTACTCGACTACAGAGCGTTGTTCACGCCGATGTGTTGGTGTATGTGCCACCGGGAACTGAGCCGCTACCCGCAGGCACACTCGTGCATGCTGTTCTGCTGGATGCGAACTGAATGCCTCTGAGGGTGCACTTTGAACGGCTGCGTGAACAAGGCATCATATGCAGGCGCATGAGGAAGCACGCTTTTCGAGGCGTCATACACCAACGCCGAGAAGCGCGCTATTCAGGTGCAGCCCGAATACATTGACGCGTATGCGGGTTGGAAGCGACCGGTCCCCTGAATACGAAGCCAGGTTGAAGTGCTTGCTCAAAGCGATAAGCGTACATCGTAGGCGTGGTGTCGATGACGAAAACGAGTCTCCATTACGTCCATGCTGGCAGCATGAACAGAACCCTGCAAATGACGTACGTGCCGACCGGTTCACATGCAACTGTTGCAGGCTACCAAAGTCGCACATTGCGTGACCTTGTGCGAGGAAACGCAGTCGTAAAGCAAAAAAAAGCATGCACGTCCAACGTTTAGCAAAGAGGTTGTTAGAGGATCCTGTGAAAATCGAAGGACGCATCTCACGACGCATTCTCGCATCCGCATAATTACCAAAGCAAAGGTCTTTATTCGATACACAAGCGGTGCACCTTGTGATCAGCGCATAGACAAAATGTCTCTAGCGACGCTTGGTCGGCGTCGCTTGCATAGCTATTCGCCTGCAAGCGACACCTGCATCGCCAGTACTTGGATCACGAACTGGATGCCTAACCGGAGGCCTTCGTCGTCGTCGTCGTCGTCATTGTCTAGACTTGTAGATGCACGTTCGCCGCTCAGCGGTCATCTTCTGGTTTCTCGGTACCAGTAATGGAGATGTCAACATGCGCGGACTGCGCGCTGTTCTAGTAGAGCCTATGCAGCACCCAGGAACGGAGAGGAACGAAATAAGTTGCGTCTAGACTCTCGAACGAAAGATCGATGTCTACTGGAAAACAAGGATGCGTCCAGATTCAAAAAACCTACGCCTTCCTAGGGAAACGCACACTGCCTCTGGCGGTACCAGCATACGTCATCCGTCTCTAAGTGAAAAGACAAGTTCTGTCTCCTGTGAACATCAAAGCGTATCCACGGAAACAAGCACTTAACCTGCGCCAATAGGCAAGTGCTGCGTGAGCACTGCCACAAGTCCGAGCGCCACCAGCAGCAGCGTGTGACCGACTAGCACCACTCGGGTAAATAGCCGCAGCGTGCGAATGAGCCGCACCCGCTCCGGACTGAGTTTTCGAATCCATGCCTCCACCACGAGTCGCAGCAGATGCGCACCATCGAGCCCCAAAGCCGGTATAATATTCAGCAGGCCTAGTCCAAGCGAGACAAGAAACAAATACGCTAGCAACGTTTCCGCGGTATGCAGCAAACTGTGACCCATAAACGGCCGTGGTGACTGCTGGACGTCGTCGCTGAAGCGCATCTCTTGCGTAATACGCTCGGGGGTCTCATCAAACCACATCAAACGGGACGCTGCTGCTGGTAACGTGTCCATCGACATGAGCCGCGCAACTTGACCGCCAGTGAGCAGCGAGCTTGCTGTGCTTTCACTAAGCCGTCGGCGGGGCGCTTCAAAGACCATACAATGCCATTGCTTGCCAGCGGCAGTTACCGAGTCATGGATACGCGTCTCCGGCAGTTTGTCGCTTTCGATAACGCAAGCGCATCGACCAGAGGTAACTTCACAACGCGTCACAACTGGTGCGGATACATGTCGCAAGCAAATGTAACCAGCGGGAGCCTCCAGTTCACCATCGATGGCAATCAAGAGACTCTCGGGCTCAGTGATTGCTCTCCAGGGAGAATCCGGATGAATCCAGGCCGCAACAGCACCTTCGTGACGATCGGAGGCCACGTAACCGCTGAAGCGCCCCACGAGCGGCAACACGTTCAGCATGCCGAGCGATATCATGGCTACCAGCAGACTCTGCACACAACCAGCAGCGTAGATGCGCAGCTGCTGACGCAGACTCAGACGGTGAAGCGTGCGCGACTCCAACCGGATATACGCACCAGGGAAACAGGCTATAACAAATAGACCCAGGTGTGTGAGCGCCACATCCTCCAGGGAAGCAGCAACCGCGTGACCCAGTTCATGGGCGATTACTGCCAGTCCAATCGCCAGAATTAGCAAGCCCATATCCAGCAGTTGTCCAGCACCGTTCGTGTACCAGTACTTGCTCGATGGGTGGCTTGCCGGTGCTGTGGATCCCCCGCGATACGCACGCTCACCGGGCCGTGCTGCGGGTAACGCAAGCGGAGCCTCTGCGAAATGCTCCGCTCCGGAATCCTCGACTGGCTTGCTATTGGCAAATGGAGACAGTGCGACCGCTTTCGCGGTACCAAAATGAACCTTCACACCACCACGCTCACGCATTTTACCGGGAGCGGCATCTCCGGGATGCATCCTCGAAGGAGCGCGGGGAATTCTCGGATTCGGGCTCGCTTCCTCGAGCGACGTAGACATTTTGATTGCCACGGCTTTTCTGTCGTCTAGAGGCGCATAGGCGCGATTCACACTACGCGATACCAGGCACGCAGAGCGCAGGTGCACCTGTTGCAACAACTGGGATAGGACCCAGACGATCCACACCAAGCCGATCAGCAAGGTCAGATACGCACCAATTTCGAAGCTCCATCGCAACATCCGTTCGACTCGTCGGCGAAAACGAGCTGGTCGTTGCCTCGGAGCATTTCTCTGGTTCCTCTCGATTGCAGGCTGCAGTATTGCTCTATCTGGATTGGGAGCGGCGAAAGCGTGTTGGTATATGAACACGCCTAGCGCCCAGGTTATGTGGTGTTGGCTCAACCATCGGGAGAATCGACGACGGGTCAACACATCCACACTCTTGCCCAGAAGGAATATAGTGACCCACGCACGACAGGTAAAGGCAAGTAGTGGCCCGGAGTGCTCCATAGCGACAATGGTGCTGTGCAGATAGCGTGCCGGTGAGCGTTGTGATACGAGACGCAGATGCTTTGAAGCTGGTCCAGGGCATACAGCGCGTTGTTGGCAGGAAAGTGGTCGCCAGTGAGTGCTTCCAGTCGCACAGTTACAAAGTCTCGATTTGAAAAGCGCTGCTCGGGCCCAAAGAGTTTGAGATATATCCAGTGGGGACACGCAGCGCGCTCGTTTCCCGTAAAGACGGTGGCGGTCTCTATGGAAAGCTGCTGTGTCGCAAAGGTAGCGCGTGAAACACAAGGCACCCCCAGAGCGGCAGTGAAGCAGCAGTGATAGCGTAGTAGTAGTAGTAGTAGCGGAGAAATAGTAGTTGTAGCAGTGATGTACAGGGCGGCGTTCGTTGCTGTTCAGTGCTCCGTTTCTGCTCCGAGCGAAACAGGTAGCGTTGGCTGCCTCCGCTCCGCCGGTAGGGACTGCAAGTTCTTCACACAGACCTATAAAGTTGCTTGTTGGCTAGAGCGTGCTTTCCATTCGACAAGATGAACTGCAAGTAGCTGTTATGGAAAGACACCAAAGCAAACGTCCCGGTGGTGTGACGACTCCCTCCGCAGCAGCTGCCGCGCTTGGACGCCCTGCTCAACAACGCCTCGATGCGACTTTTCCAGGGAAAACGACTTGACGTTCTCTTGCCCTCGCTCTCTCTCTCTGTGTGTGTGTGTGTGTTTGCTTCTTGTTGACTGCAGTCCATTGAAATCCCAGACACGTGCTTGTAGTGTCGACCAAGAGTGTTCGGGGCTGCTTTTTGAAGCCCGTTACCCTACTGGGACCGCTCTGGCTTCGCACTGCGCCTAGAAAGGCCGAGGACCTGTGAGGCGTCTGGGACCAGCCGTCTGCAGCTGTTCGTGAGCTGCCCAGGGCTCGCGGGATCGACGCTGTACGCACAACGAACGCAGTGGAAACGGGGGTACGTATCAGGTTGTAGCCGGTCGAGGTACTTGGGTAACAACTTCCAGAAGCGGAACTGGTGATTCGAGCTCCAGTTCCAAAGACTTGGGCGCTATTCTGCGGAAAGGGTTGCGGCTCACCGCTGGACACAGAAGACGCGGTCCTTAGACTAGTTCGAGCAGCAGCAGCAGCAGCAGCAGCTTTTCTTGCAGGTCGCTGGCAAAAACGGAATAAGCGTCGCAGTAGAGCGTTTCGAGCTGTCTGCGCTTTTCAGTCGCGAGACACCCGAAGACCAGCACGTCACAACGGGTACACGCCAACCCAGGCAGCTTTTTTTCTTCAGGGGTTGCCCCCTGAAAGCTCGTTTGCTGCGCAACCAAGTAATTTCAGAGACGTAGAGCTTCCTCTTTCCTACTGGGTAGCTACTTCTATGCGACGAGCGCGTCGTTGGACCTACTACCTCACGGGAGCGGTGGCCGTTGCCGGTCTAGGGTATCTCGCATGGCGGCCGTTACGCCGCTGGCTCACGAAGAAGGAGGCGGAGTGGAAGCTCTGGTCGGCTTGGAGCGGTGTGACGTCTCCGCAGACGCACTCACTGGGTACGATTGTGCAGAGCGGTGCCGCGGGAGACCCCAGCGGAACCCCAACAAGCGACGAAGAAGCATCATCCGCTGTCGTTTCTGCGTTCCAAGTGTTCCGCCAGCAGTATGAGACAAACAAACGGACCATGACAGCGACTATTGTATCCTTAGGCGGATTACTACAACAGCGTTTGGAACGTTTCTTTGATACCGCAGGTATCATTCGCAAGCTCCGTGCTCATACCGAGGATACGAGTTGCAACGACCGGCCTTCAGAGGATCCGACAACGGGGCATTCGACGCAGCTGCTTTGGAAGCAACTCACGGTGCTCTCGCTTACCCGTGTTCTGGCTTCTGCTTATGTTTACTGCCTTTTACAGGCCCTTGTGTGCGTGCAAGTCAACTTACTTGGTCGGTATCTGAGTTTGGCGGCGGCGCTGGCGAACAGCGAACGCTACGAACGCCGCGAACGCCGTTCCAGTGTTCAGCACTCACTTCCTACCGAGAAGGAGCTACTCACAGAACTCCTGGCTTTACCTGGAGCGAACCTAGAACAGCCAATGCGGCAGGTACAGAGGGCGTACCTGCGCCTCGCACGCAAACTCGGCGACGTGGAGTTTCTCGAAACGCTCATCACAGAGAACATCATGCGCAGGGTGCAGCATGAACTGGAGGAGCGGCGCTGGGATCTACAGACGCCGCTGCAGATCCACGATTTGGCTAGCCTATGGGAGAGCGCTCATCGGTGTTTATGCAGACGCGAGGCCGACTCCCAAGCGCCCTCGCATCCGGGAACAGACGGGGAAGCGCATGCGGAAAAAGCTTCGGGGTCAGCGAGCCATGCGTCCATGAGTTACCACTTGGAAACGTCTGTTTCACCGAATGGACTCTGGATGGCGTCCGTACTCGAACATTTGATTCAGGCGACGCGTCAGAGCCTGTTCGAGCAGTTGCACGCTGATCAGCTGTTGACGGGGCCCCCGCGCGGCGACGTCGAGGCGCATGGTGCCGGCCCCAGAACACAGCATACGCTTCGGGGTACGGCGGCGCAGCAGGCAGCGCTGCAGCTCAACGCTCTTCTGGACGAGACCCTGGATGTCATCGATAGTATGGATTTCGCTGAATTTGCAGAGGCCATCTTTGATGCAGTTTGGCGGCAAATGCTTGCCGACCTCGAGCAGACGCGGGCTTCGCGCGACCCTAACCCGTCGCTGGCGTTGCTTCAGTGGCTACCCAAATGCGCCGCTACGAGCCGCCAAGTCTTTGTAGATGAAAACTATCAGCACGTTGCTCGAAACCAGCCGGTGTGTGAGCGGTTTGCCGCGCTGGTGTTCCTCTCCGGGGAGAAAGAGGGCGACGCACCTGGTCCAGCTGCCACGTGAAATGTGTGATTGCTGCATGCAACAAACGGCTGACGCATGTCGAGTACGGATGCGTCCAGCCGCTGACTGCTCTCATGGACGTCGTGAATCCCCCGGGTTCAGACACAACGCCATGGGGAGACGTTTGTGTCTCTGACGACGGCAGTGCCTAAACTTCAATATTCTCGTCGTTGGCTCGCATAGAGCATGCTGCCAGCGGCTACCACTGTGCAAACAATTGTTGCGTTCTGGTATGGTGCACCTTGAATGGTTCCCAGGGTGACGTAAACCAAGGCTATCGCAGTGAAAGCTGTTGCGAGACAGAGATTTCTTAGGTGTGCAGAGTTCAGGATGAAACGCGGAACTGCTCGTAACAGTGCAAGGGGATGATTCTGCTCCTGGATGAGCGCACGAACGTGCTCTTTCTCGGTCTCGAAGCGGCTGAGCTCGCGCTCCATCCTTAGCCACGCACTCGTAGCCGCAGCGCTTCGACGTTCGATGAGTTCCCTCAGCGCCGCCCTGGTGTTCTCTGTCAGCTGTTGGGCCAGCGTGAACTCGGATAGGTTAGCGTCTGCATCGGTTTGTTGCCAAATACGACCGAGCGACTGCGCTCCGCGGCTTCCGAGTTCCCGCAGTGTCTCCCGCGGCAGCGCCTCGTTCTGATTGCGTTCTTCCGTTCCCGCTGAACGCTCCACGAGTTGCCGCAATATCTCAGCAGCCAGCGCTGTGTCGGGATCCAGTGCGTCTTGCCCGGTCCATCCAGGGTTGTCGCGCTCCGCTGTGCTCATTCGTAACTTGGCTGGAGGTACGCACCTACGCGCTGTGCGAGCGCTCCGAGACCCCGCTGCACCAGCTTGGCGGCGAGGCAAGTGCGAAACTCCACGCGACTGCAACTGACAGGGTGACGGCAGCACGAATCCCAAGCGTTGAATTGGCAAGCTTTGAACTGGTAGCATACCTGAAAAGTAGGTAGTCGTAAAAGGCTCACACAGAGTCTCCGGATAAGTGCCGCGAGCTGCCGGCGTCCATTAACCCAACGGGGAAGCGCAGGCGCTTTTGCGCAGGCGCGGGGCGAACGCACCTCCCTGCGGGGTGTTTTCTCCGTTTACGTCCTCCATCGCATAGCATGAAGAGGGCAGATGAAGACGGTCTCCCCTTGAGATGCATTTCGTAGTGTCTGATCGAGCATGAGATGCTCTGAGAAGCCTCGAAGATAGTTTCACTTCGAAGAAGTCGGGCAGAAGTGATCCCGAACTCTCGCGTTGATTCTTGACGGACGCCTGTGGTGTTCGTGCGGATGAGGCGATGCAACGCTGGATTCTTCGTATTGTATGGATGTCGCGCCTAGAAAATTCTGGTCGTCGACACGCCTCGCACTTCCGGATCCTCGAGCACCGCCAAGCGTGGTGCCGTAGCGCTGGCTCCGCTGATGTCACCAGGTATGCAGAGGAAGCTGCGAAAACGTGTATTCACCTGGGATAGAGGGAAGATATGCGTGCCCCAGGAATCACCGGGTGATACTCGCTGTTCACGAATGTTAACGTATTTGAGGTATAGGAACGATGTGCTGCAACAGGCAGCGTTGGGCGATGCGCGCTGGTTTTGAACGCGTGCTCGCCGCGGCAACCGGGAGCCTGACGCTCCGACGCATCCGACTGTAGCTTTGCACTCGACTGCGCTTGATCGTCTATTTCTACGCTGCGATGAACAGTGGGCGAGCACGAAAGCGGATGCAAAAGTGCAAGCCAAGGACGTCATCTGTGACTGAGCATCGCATACGCGAAACGCATGGGTATCCTATCCAGCGCCGAACCTGGAGATGTGTTGTACAGGAGTTCGTTGCAGAAGCATGGAGCTTCGGAGCGTCCGCGAATCCATAATGTACGACGAAATGTCCGCATGTCATGGAACAGATAAGTTTTTATGTGGAATTCCTCGCCCTTGTCTTACAGGATCCTAGTGCTGTGTTACGCAGCGCTGGAAACGGCGGCGGCGCGCGTTAGACGCATGGCGATCGAACTTCCACCATTGTCGGAATAAAATGGAAGATGCCCCTTTGCCATGAGTATGCACAGTAAAGTTTGGGGCTCTTGCCGCTGTCATGAGCACGAGCTTTTTGCGGGCGATTTCCTTCCAATTGACACCTTTTCTCCGAGCTCATCTCATGGATTAAAAGCGTCTGCGTCTCTAGCCTCTCGAGCTCCGTTGTTAGCGGTCGAAGGATGTTTGATAGACGTTGACTTCACGATTTAGATGCCTCCGATTCTTGTCGACGCATATGATTCACAGGGGTGTGTTGAAATCGACGATTCGCTTGCCAATTTCACCCTCTTTGAAGACAGCCTCAGTGAGCCCATAGTTCCGCTGACATTTGAATGTATTCAGGTGTTCATGCATGTCCAAGAAACCTCCGCTACTCAAGGCTACCAAGTTATGCGTAATTGTTCGCTTCCCTGCTCGTTATATGAGCGTTACGGGTACAGAGGGCTCACTTGAGTGCTCTCGCTCTATTTGCGACGGGGGGCGTACCCATCCATCAGAGACCTGCGATGAATGGTCCCGCTGGCGAGTCCTTTTCCATTGCACGAGCGAGCGCACGCTGTTCCATTCGATACAGAGGTGTTGCGAATTGCGAATTTGTTTATCATGGGACAAGTACTGGACGGAAAATCCAACCTGCAAAACAAGGCGAGAAAATTCGATCTGTCTAGGATCCCTTGATGTAAAGCTGTGACGCATGCTCCATCGGAAGTGAGCGCTACCATAACTCGACTCAGAGTCCAAGCTAAGTTTCCATACAAACATAGTATTCGGGAGCCTCTGGATGCCTACTTCGTGAAAGGCATCGTGCGTCTTTGAACTGCAGTCTCGCCGATCGCCATCAGGAAATGAATCCTTGACATTCGAACGGAATCGATTATTGGTAGTGACAAGAACGGTGAGCTTTTCGACATGAGCTTCTGTGCAAGTCGCCTAGGCACCATATCGAGATGTGTCCTTCGTCAGTCCATTGGTGCGAATGGCTGCACTGAACCGTAACCCTCAAACATAAAGAATGAGCACTTGAGGCAAGTCTGATCTGAGCGCGCGACACGTAAGAATAGAGAAGCGTAGGCATTCGCGCGTCAGCGTTGGATCGTGAACGATGTGATTTTACAACCCCGTGATCTAGGTTGTCGGGAGTCATCTTGATTCCGGCTACGTCACGAAATGCTGTACCAAACCCTAGGTTGAGACAGCCCCAAAATACGACCGGATTCCTGAAACGTTCCGCGAACCCTGAAGCCCTCATGACTTGCCCTCAAGTCCCAATGGATTCCTTTTACAAAAATGATCTAAAAAATCGAATGATATGAATAGAGCAAGCAGATGATGCTCCGCGAGGGAAGCCTAAACCTGCATTCAACGCAGTCTCGTACCTACGGGACCTCGCACAATACCATGAACGCAGCAAACACTGCAGGAGCAGAAGCCTAAACCTGCTTTCAACGCAGTCGCGTACCTACGGGACCTCACACAATACCATGAACGCAGCAAACACTGCAGGAGCAGAAGCCTAAACCTGCTTTCAACGCAGTCGCGTACCTACGGGACCTCGCACAATACCATGAACGCAGCAAACACTGAAGGAGCAGAAGCCTAAACCTGCTTTCAACGCAGTCGCGTACCTACGGGACCTCGCACAATACCATGAACGCAGCAAACACAGCAGGAGCACCTGCAGGTATATCGCACGGCACCCAGGTGTGCGCTGGAGAAGCGCGCCGGCGACTATCACGCCGGCGCGCCCTGACAGGCGCGTGATGCAACGATCTCCACACACACACACCCAACGTTCTTTAGCTTGCGTTTGTGTTTGTGTCAAACGTTGCACAAGCGCTTTGTGAAGCGTACGTGGTCAGTTGAGCTTGAGGGAAAACGGGTGCTTGCCAGCCAAATACGTGTATGGACAGGTACAATTCACGACAACTTTGTGCGTTCAGCACTTGCTCGGGGGCGTTCGTGCTGCGGCCCCGGGCAGCGCGGAGCGTTTCAAAGTGTTTATCACTTCGCTGGCGAGCGTCTCGGGCTGGGTCGCGTTTCCGACCTTGCTTGGCCCGCATCTCGCGCAACGATGAGCGGCAGAACACCGCAGCGGTGCCTGGTGAAGTGAACGGGAAGCCAGAGAGCCTACCTGACGTCGCCTGGGGGACAAGCTCGATAGAGCAGCGCATGCTCACCGAGCAAGCGACTGAGGAGCTCGTTGAGAAAGTCCGCGAACGATGGTCGACTAGTGAGGAGTCGGACGATACGTCTCCAGCGCCAGCAGCGACGTCAGCGACACAAAAAATCCCTGTTGTGCAGCAGTGGCAAGTCTGGTGGCAGCGCTTGTGGCGCGACGACAAGTTTGCGGACGTGCGCGTGTTTACGGCCTCGTTTTTAGCAGCTGTGTTCATTCGCGCTTTCGTCGTAGAGCCACGCTACATTCCATCGCTCTCCATGTATCCGACGTTTGATGTGGGCGATCAGCTGCTTGTGGACAAGGTCACCTTGAAACTCGGTCGTCATATCCAACGAGGCGACGTTGTGGTCTTTTACCCGCCGCCGGCACTCATTGAGGCCAGCAAAGAGACCGCAAAAGCACTGAACGCTGCGGGAGAGACAGGTGCGCACCAGTATGGTGCTAGAGATGCGATGATTAAACGTGTGGTTGCTCTGGGTGGTGATGTTGTCGAGATTCGCGACGGGCGACTCTATGTCAACGGAGAGGCGCAGATCGAGACCTACATTGCCGAAAGTCCGGATTATCAATGGGGTCCCGTCCAGGTCCCTGACGGCTATCTGGTCGTATTGGGCGATAATCGGAGCAACTCGCTGGATTCGCATGTTTGGGGTTTCCTCCCCGAGCGTAACGTCATCGGACGTGCCGTATTTCGTTACTGGCCGCTGACTCGGGTGGGCACGATCGAGCACTAGGTAACTCTTGACGACAGATTCCAGTCAAGGTCTATGTCGCTGATAAGGGTCAAGCAGCGTGGCAAGAGGTGCAGTCTTCAAGTGATGATTGGCTTTGACTGCTTCGGGTTCGGTGCGCCCAAGCAACTGTTGCACTCGAATCGGTGGGGATTTTCGGCTCTGTACCAGCGACCGTTGCTTTTCACTTGTGGACCGTGACTCTTGAGTAACAATTGCCTCGTAAGCAAGCCGATCAGGGGAACGCGAGCGTCGCACAAGGCCAGAGATGCACTGGATCCAAACTACCCCTTGCTCAGGACGACGGAATGATTCTATATCGTTTCTGAGCTGAGTGACTATCTAGTTCTAAATACGCCAATTAAATGAAAGTTTTTGTTTCGGTGGAAGCTAGGGAAGGTGAGTAAGCGTTTCACCGACAGTGGTGCATGTGTGGATGGTTTATGGGTCAGCGCATCGATACGCTGCTGACGTTGCTGGCCGAGGCGGCACTGGTTTGAAGCAGCTGTCTCATGAAGAGACTGCTGCTTCAAAGCCAAGGTATCAATCCTCGTGACGAATACGTATCCATCGAGACAATGCATTGCTAGTGTTCCAAGGCGGGTCTACCAGCACGATGACCCCTGTGAATGTCGACGCGATGGAGCGCTCTTTGCGCGAAGAGGCGTGTCGATCGCGAACCTCTCCCCGATATCCACAGCTGCGTTGCTCATTTGCTGCTTATTGTGGAGCAATGCTTCGAATCGATGCACGATGCTATGCCCCAGCCGCATCTAGATCGATCACGTCTGCGGCAAGGTGCTTGTGTTGAAGTGTCTCCGAAAACCCGTCGAGTTCCGTGCGATCGCTCTCACGAAACTTTTCAAAGACAACGTTTCCACGTGCACTGGCCATGAAGACCGGCACTCGAGATAACTGCAAGATCGGAAGCTTCCATCATGCGCCTTAAGCCGAATTGCCCGTGATCGCTCTGCACCTAGCGAGACAGCATGCTGCATCTGCGAAAGTAACGCAGAATACCTGGAACGCTTTGGAAGCAACGCACCCTTCGGAACGCTTGAACGATGCGAGGCACCACAATCCAGATAGTATTTTGGATGCTGGCGGGTATCGACGTTGATTTTATCGCCCCGTGTCATAAAGCGGCTGCCTTCGAGAAGCGTAGGTCTATGCGTAGAGTCACAGCATCATGCTGTCCAGAAGTGAGCTCCCTAATGATACTCACATTTGCTTGCTCATCAACAGAAACGTCGCATCATGGGCAAATACGAACGTTCATGAATTGCCCTGAAAACTCGTTCCCATTGTATGTACCTAAATACGGAGTTCCAGCCTTATTCGGGTGCTGACTCCTACCATGCCCGTACGTAGCTCCGCCCAGAATCCAATACCCTCGCATTTGACAACAGGTTCCGTCACGGGACGTCGTCCGTGTCCAAGCACACTGCCCATGCGGAGTACGAAACGATTCCCTAGAAGTTCGTTCGACGCCGTGCCGCTAAACGCTCCGAACGCACGAGATTACTCCGTTTGCTGATCGCAACGTTGCGGTATTGGTAGAGGAAATGCTTGCGCGTTCTCTTACTGGTGACAATACACCATAGCAAGCCTATCATCTTTGATTCGCTCGCTATCTATCGTTCGGTCAGCTTAGCCCGCCAGTCATCTCGCGCTTCGGATACTGTGTCGCTCGATTCCTCCCTCATAGTTTTCGTGGTGCAGCACTGCTCGTGATGCGTGTATGTCGACAAGAATGCATCCATAAAAATCGTACAGCATCGATCCCTGCAGTCGTTGTACTCTCTCGTCAGAGGGGGAGCAGGAGTGCAAGCATTGCATGCCGCAGCACATCCAGCGCCATAGGATACCACCAAATGACGCGCCTTCCGCGTGATTTCCTCTCATAACTCATTGAAAAGGGAAGTGAATGCACACTACTTGCCCCCATACAACCGATAGCGTTGGCGACCCAGTACGATCCCATATCCCCCTGCCAGAGGTCGTGGCCCTGAGCCATACGGGTGCTCACGGCCAATCTCCATGAAGCGAATAAAGCATCGCTATATGCTCGATACGTTGCAACGAGCATCGACATGGGTCCAGACGCCGACTCTTCTCATCTGGGTGTCCCTGCCGGTGTCGAAGATGCCCGAATCTCGATCAAGCGGAACTCTGGAAAAGCTAAGAAGCGTCATCGGCTTTCCTCATGAGGTCGTCGGCTCCGTTCTCTTGATTCGGAGGTACGGCGATGGCCAGGGTATTTTCAGGCAGGGGACTCGCGCCCTCCACGACGGCATTATCTTCCTCTGCGTTGAACGCATGAAAACGAGTCTCGTCACTCGACTGACGATTAGGATTCATAAAGCGAATGCACATTCCCATGCCATCCGTCGCCATCGCCTCTGTAACCACCGTTTCCGTTCATCGATCCGAATGAGGGAAAGCGTTGAACGAGCGCCTCGAATGATCTGGGCGAAGTTGTTCCAACGTATCATCCTGGCGTACGCAGTGCAACCGGAGCTCACTGAACTCGCTCTACAAGACACGAAACAAGTGTCTCCGGGAAATGCAAGCGGCCTCGAGGCGAGTTACCGGGACCGTATCGCATGCCCCGCGAGAACAAGATGCAATGCTCGAACAACTGAAGTTACGCTGACGTGCTATGGAGGGCTCTGCTCATGACTCCATCGTCACGCGAGATGCAAGCAAGGTAGGTATCGTGTCTCAAGCATCCTTTCGATACGACATCTGCCGGTCCGAGTTCCAGAGCAACACCATCAGCTTGCACGAGCTGAGCCGACGCTGCCTCTCGTCTAGACGGTGCTTGCAAAAACTCGCCTCCATTTCGAATGGTATCGGTAGCACCAGCTTGTCATTTGCCGCCGGCGACATCGAGAGGAAGCACTGCATCTCTCCGGACTCGTTTGGTCCCGGCAGCGTGAGGCTACAGCGCCTCCAGGGAGCGCCTCATGAAGCGCTAGAGAATGACCTGCATGCGGTTGCAGTTTTTGAGGGTTGTTCCATCGTTATCGGCATCTGTGGTGTAGATGTTCAGGTCACCGGGTTCGTGTCGCAAAGCGTCAAGCAGCGGTCAGAAACATGTGTACGAACCTCTGATCCTACGATGAGACTGGCTTGCGTCTCCGGTGCCGAGTCTCAGATGTGTTGTCGCACGAAGGTTTCATCGAAAGACTCCGTAGGAATATGGACAGCTGGCTGCCCTGCATCTGGAACGGGTAGGAACACCGGCTCCTCGATGTCCACCAAGGCGAGGGAGGCTTGACGAAGCCCCTTCGTTTAGGGAGCTATGGTTCCCCTGATAGCGTCCTGCACGTCGCTTTCTGGCAGGTTCTCCGCGTTCGCGTGCTCTTGTAGCGAAGCCTTGATAACCAATACAGACCGCCCTTTCCGATCCGACTCTCGATCGTTTCAGTCGCTGCCCGTCCTCTTTTGGAGAGGAGTCTTTCTCTCGCTGGCCTGGTGGTTTCGTCTCGTTTTCGTTGACTGCGACGGCTCGCAAGGATATGCTTGGGACGCTCTGCCATCCTCGTATGCCCTTGGAGTTCGGACGGACCTGGTGGGCAGCAAAACTGAAGCTCGTCTTTTACTTGTACGATTCTATTATTCCTTAGGTGCCGCTCCGTCACCAGGTCTATTGCCAGGGCGTCTGGCGACTGCAGCGCGCCTGACCGCTTCCTCCCGCACACGAGCAGAGAGGGAGCGCAGTAGTTGGCGGCTGATGAAGGCCGAAAGCAACTTGTCGACGAACTGGGGTGTCACGGATGCGAACGACTCGCCTCTTCAACCCGGAGCGTAACCCTGGCGTTCGACGGCAGAGAAGCCACTGTCGACCGGACCGAAGTAAAGAGCGCTGGCTGGCGTCACGGGCAGCTCAACGTCAACCGCTGGTGCGTCCTCCTCGACACCTGGTGAGTGATGGAAAGCGACTTTATGCAACATCAGGACATGTGAATACGGGGAGCAGACTCCTCGAGGAAAGCCCCGACGACGAAGCATGAGGCATTGAACGACAGGGCCCGCTTGGCGAGTTGTAGGCGACCTCACGACTGACTCGCTGCTGGGGCTCATGTTGATACGATACTCGCTTGTTTCTGCGCTGTAGCCAGGCGTTTGCCACTCCTGGACGACGCACATCTCGTGCAGGAGTGCGGGTCCTCCCGAACAGACGCTGAAGGCGTTAGACGATCCCCCGCGCCCCCTTTCTATCATATGGTATGCGTCCGCGAGGAAGTACCAATGCAACAGTGGGGTATTCACCGTGCAGCGGTCTCCGGTTCGAGCGTGCGTTCTCCTTTGTCTGTTCGCGTATCGTTGTCAGCGTTCGGATCGTTGGTATGCGGGCCTGAGATTCTGCGGCTTCTTTAGACGTATTTCTTTGAAAACGTCTTGACTGGCGAGGATTGACAAGGACCCGATGTTTAGACAACGTTCTAGGAGTTCATTTCCAGGTGCACAACGTTCAGAGCACGGACGACGAGAAATACCGCTCATCCACTTGCTGTCAGTAGAATAACTGACTCGTACAATGAATTCTGTTTTCCGCCAGCTGACACAGACTGTCATAAAACATTTCTGCGACCTATCCCCGATCGACACCAACCAATCCCTGTGTTGTACGCCTGCGAGAGACACATACGCACACAACAGGATCTTTCTGGTACAGGTGTTCCCGAGCCACTGCTCTGAACCAAAAAAAAGTCAACGGACCGGCCCTTGACAACGGTCAGCATCGTTGCACCCACCTTGCGAGGTCTGGTTCGTGTTTCGTGGAAGTTGTGGTTTTAGATCGGCCTGGTGGTCAGGTCCCTGGAAACCAACAACAATGCCGCACCCATGTTGTCCCTGTTTCTTCTCTTCGATCCTAGAAGATGAAAAATGCCGACCAATCATGGCACGAGTTTTTCGCCCAATTGATCGCAGCAGCCGCAATGCGACACCCCCCATCCCCAGCGCAAAGAACTAGCTTGTTAAGATTTGCTGGT